ACTAAACACTTCTGTCAGTGGTTCACCCCTCGTCTATTTCAATGCCATTAATGTTTGTGACAAGTGTATATTGCCCGCCTAAAGGGAATTATCATATAACATACAAAATTTCTTCTCAGACTTGGGTAGAAAGTCTGCACCTGGGCCAGTTTTGTTTTTGTCTTTCATAATAAAGACATGGTTCAAGTATCTGTGTGTATATGAGAGAACAGTACTCAAAGTCAATGGAACTTTGTTGAATAAACATTTAGCACAGTCCAATAGAAAAGTGTTTCGCTTATGTCTGGCACCATCAGTTTCTATGTAACTTTACTGTCTGGTCAAAAATTATGCACATGCCAAGGATAAAGCTGCTATTTACCATTCCCAACTAATGTTTTAAAATTAGCATCTTGGTTTTACAATAAGAATAAGCAATATGTGAAGGATCAGTGAAACCAAATGTAAGTAATACCTAAATGTGTACCTAAACCTAATTTCCACCTAACTGAGGCATGGGGTTTTTGTTTTGTCAGAGGATTTTCGGCCAAAGGGGTCAGATTCCCGTGGATCTCCTGGGATAAGAGGCCAGGCTGGAGTCTCTCTGTGCCCGGAGATCCCAGCAGTCCGTGGCTCCTAATCCCTGTCATTAAGTCCAGTACACAGAGAAAACTATCACGCTTCAACCGCTCCCCTCTCATCAACCCTGTTCCTTTGTGAATGGTTCCTCACATCCTCTCTCTCATTAGACTCTTCTTTATTTTTTCCCAAGTGTTATTGTTTCCTACTCACTCTGCAGGCTTTCCTTCCTGGGTTTCCCTCCATTGCAGCAGGTGATACATTAATCTTGTCAGCTTCACCTGCACACATCCCAAAAATGAGCTGACTCTTACTGGAAGAAGCATGACTAAATATGAGCACTGTTTATTTTAAATCTTATCACAGTTCTGACCTATTTACACAATTATAAGAAAACAATAGCCTGGGAAATGATGGTGCCAGACAATAAAATGTTGTCTTCAATTCCATTCAAAATAAATCTAGCAGCTGTAAAAAAGTCAGAACATCTTAGATGGATAGGACAAACTGTCCTCTTATAGCACATCCTGTGGAGCTGTTTTGTCCATTGACACACACTCTGTTATGGCTTAAGGATGAGCGAGATGGTGGTCCGGGGTCCCGAGGAGAGAGAGGGGAAACACCTTGTGACCCCATGTTCCTGAGCAGCTCCTTGTGCTACAGGGATACAGGGATAGATGAGCACTGAGCAAAAAGTGCATGTGCATTTAGCTACAAGGCTCTATTTAAGTTTTGATATGGCTTGAGATTGGAGTGAGACAACCTGACTACTAATTCTCCACGCTGCCATCCAAAAACAACTTTTCCAATATGTTTTTTTTAAGAAAGCTAGATACTGTCTCAGTCACATTTAAGTATAACAAACATTGCATTTTATTAATAAATCAAATCAGGTTGTAATTAATAACTTATTAATCACAGATACAAATATTGCAGATGTACATTTCTAGCGAAAAGAAAAAGTGCTTAGGCCAAGGAATTGAACAATAGAATGGCCTTATCAGCCAAAAAATTTCAACTGATTGGGTGGAGATCTCCATTCTTTTCCACACAATGGTCAAGGTCATAGGCAGATGCAGGAAAAAATATGCAACACCACATGCATTACAGTAGCCCACAAGGTTAGGAGTTAATGAGGCACATGTTACCCATTGTACAATATTTACAGAACAGACTGCTGTATCCTTATCTTTCAGTGATTTTGGTGTTATGCAAAAAAGGCGCAAATCATCACACTGCAGCAGACATGTGACAGGCTGCCAACTCCAGATAGGCTGGTGTTGGATGTGATAGCATGCCAATAAGCAAACCTCACAGCAGGACCAGTGCCCTCTCACGACAGGGGGTGGGACTGGCTCCATGGCATCAAAGTGTGACATCGTAAGACCGGGCACATACGACACTTAGCAGGATGATGGTAAAGGGCTGCAGATCATACTATGCCGATCAAAGTTATGGACAGAAAGATGCAGAGTATAGTACTGTTTAATGATGTTTGACAGTTTAAGTTTAGTAACATATCTTACCTCTCCTTTAAGTGGATTCGAGTGACACCATACTGTGATAAAGGCCCCCTGCTCGAGCCAGGTCCCAGGTGCTTGAGTTTCAGCTTGATTTGTGAAACTTGAGGTCTGCTGCACTGGCTTCATTGGTGTGTTGACCATTTTACACTTCAAACACAAGCACGGGTGGTAGATCTCCCCCTATCTCTTCCTAAACGAAAGGCCAAAACAAATACAAACTTCACTGTTTCGACCAAAAAACATTGTTGTGTGGACAGGCCCAAAGTCAACTTTGGCCAGACTAAAACTTGCTATACGATTGTCCCCAAAGTGGCCAGCATTCAAAAGATACACATCACACCATTTCTTAACTAAACATGGGAAAAAGTAGTTTTTTAAGATAATATCACCTTATATGTTGTTGTGTTGCAATTTTGCTCATAAGCCTCAAATTAACTTGTTAATGGTAGCAAGGAGACAGGAGCAGTCATATCTTTGGTGGCAGGCTGATTACAGCAGCAGATCAAAAGCAGTCACAGATGTGGCAGTGGTCCATGTGTGGCCCAGTCCTGGGAAACTCAACCTTGGTGCAGCAGCTGGAAAAATGGCAAAAACTTAACATTGTATTACTGTAACTGTGCTGAAGTGAGTTTCTGCTATATATTAGCAGTATAGAAAAAAAAAAAAAGATAATTTTTGCCTTACATTTCCTCATTATATTTCATGAACTACAGAGACAATCATCACATTGCTTACAGACCATGACAACTTTAAAGTAATATTTTCCCAAGGTGAGTTTAAACATGAAATATGTTATAATAACTTAAAATTTTTATATTTCTGGTGAGGGATCAGTTCAGCAAAGATTTAAAGCCAGTGAACCAAGAGTTACTTCTTAAGTTTACTAAATATGTTGTTTGATTAACCCTAAAATCACCCAAAACATTATCAACACAAATTTTGACAAGTAAGACAAACCTATATAGGTAATTTCTCACTTAACTGCTTTTATCTTCCCCCATATGCATATGATGATTAACAGGTGAAGAGATATCTAAGTTATGTTTTGGTGCTGTATTCTAACCATCTGTTTCTTATCTTCATCTTTTATTTTTTTATTTGCAAATATGTTTGTGTAAGGGATAGCGGCTCAAGGAGCAGCAGGCGGTCAATCTTCTCCTTGGGGAAAATGGCAGCATTGGGACCCACCTGGTGTGTGTTATCTGAGTAGTAGAGCATGTGATGGCAGTAAGCATGGGCTATTTAAGCTATTTGACTTTGAAATGTAAAATAAACAATACACGCAAGGCAGTTTTAGATAATTTTATGATGTTAGCTTTAAACCATGGGGCTATCCTATGTGTTCTGGGCTCCATTTTTAGAAACAGCCTAGAATAAACACGGGCATTCCCATTTTTCCACATTTCCTCCAAACTCCTCTGCTTATCAGAGTGAATAGGCTGTAGAAACACAGATCACTTAACACTGCAATAACAAATAGGGCAAAACAACCTCAACATGTTGTTGCTTGTTGATTAAAAGTCAATCAGAATGTTTGGATCTATAGGCAGGTTAAAAGACACAAAAATGGTGTCAACGGGTGTTTTCCTTTTGTTTTGCTTGAGCTCTGCGCGCATGCCTCACCTATTGCAATTAATCCTGAGAACTGAATTGACACATCCAGTGAGGAGCCCATGACATTAATCTAATCTGGTATTTGCTAACCTGTGTTTATCTAATTAGGCTCACGTTTGAAAATACAACAACTGGCAAATTTGAGAGGTAAGTAAGTGACACTGGGTTACAAAACTTCATTCATGTTTCCTTTATAATGTTTTATGAACGAATTGTCAAAATATGTATGAGCACGCGGCGATTAGCACTATTCAAGGGTCACGTTATTATTGCAATTGAAATGTAAAACATGATCTTGTAATGTCCAGACCTGTCCCACTTACCTCGTTTGACTGTAGTTATAATCGCTAGTATTTACAGCAGTGCTGTTACAAAAATCTACATTGCAAACATTTTGTCTAGATTTTCAGACACCGTCCTTCCAATGTAGAAAGTAAATAAAGCTAAACGTGATGCTAAATTATTAACATGATATGCTAACAGTGTCACAATTTTAATTTTTTTTTTTATCATATCCAGTCATGGATCTATCCAGTCAAAAATTAAAGACAGGGAAATGTAACATTAATGATGCACATTTTTCGGCCAGTTGCGCACATGTTATTTGCTTATCATTTAATTTCTAGAGCCGCAATATGGCTACAAGTTTAAAAAGGTTAATTGTAAAGGAGTACAGTGTTTCTCATTGAGGCTACTATGATGTCCCCCATAGTCTTATTTTTAAATTGCAGTGTTTAATATATATATATATATATATATATATATATATATATATATATATATATATATATATATATATATATATATATATATATATTAATTTTTTTTTGCTTGTTGTATTGTAATTAATATGTAGAAGCGACTATAATTAATGTATTAAATACATGTATTCAATACATGTATTCAAATAACCTAAAGATTGCCTGCAATCTGCCCACCATACGCTGTATGAACCTGTGGAAAACACTTAAAATGTTGTTACTCTTGTTAATAGCCCAACATGACCACAAAATACTGCTTTTTTTATTGTATTATTTTATATGCAGATAATTTATAATGTCTTACTTATGTCTACAGAATAAAAACATAGTTGTAGAGAGGCCCTGTTCAAACCTGAACCAGTGATATGGCCTCAGTAGTCAGAGGTGATACAGGAGAGGGACTGGAGCAGGGGGAGGGCAGGGCCGGGGGAGTGGGTGTGTTGTGGGGGGTCGTCCTGGGAGGGAACCAGGGGTGTGGAGGGCTGAGTTTAAAAGGCAGCCAGCGTCACTCTCACACACTATCTGCTCTCCAGTTCAGCAGCAGTAACCTCTGTGTCTCTGCTCTCTTCGTGAAGCCTGAAGTTTCCCCTGGATCCTTTAAGGACTTGACTTCTTTTTAAAGACATTTTACTCCACTGCACCTGATCATGGAGACCACCACTGTGGAATATGCTGATCCTTATGAATACTATGATGACAATGAGACTTCTTGTGACTTTTCTGAGTGGGAACCTTCCTACTCTCTCATCCCTGTCCTGTACATGCTCATCTTCATCTTGGGCCTGTCGGGTAATGGAGTAGTCATCTTCACTGTCTGGAGGTCCAAAAGCAAGCGCCGCGCTGCAGACATCTACATTGGAAACCTGGCTCTGGCTGACCTTACCTTTGTCGCGACTCTACCTCTTTGGGCAGTCTACACAGCGCTGGGTTACCACTGGCCATTTGGAGTTGCTCTGTGCAAAATCAGTAGCTATGTGGTCCTGGTCAACATGTATGCCAGCGTCTTCTGCCTCACCTGCCTCAGTTTTGACCGCTACCTCGCCATCGTCCACTCCCTGTCCAGTAGTAGGCTGCGTTCTAGAGGCACCATGCTGGCATCTCTTGGGGCAATCTGGCTGCTTTCTGGTCTGCTGGCTCTGCCAACGTTGCTTTTCCGCAACACTGTGAATGACATCGGCAGCAACAAAACCACGTGTGGGATGGACTTCAGTCTGGTCACCTTGAATGAGAGGCATGAGTCTTTTTGGATCGCTGGACTCTCTCTCTCTTCCTCTGCTCTAGGTTTCCTCCTACCTTTTCTCGCCATGACAATCTTCTACTGTTTCATCGGCTGCACTGTGACTCGCCACTTCAACAACCTGCGCAAAGAGGACCAGAAGAAGAAGAGGCTGCTGAAGATCATCACCACCTTGGTTGTGGTATTCGCCATCTGCTGGACACCGTTCCATGTGTTCAAAAGCATGGATGCTCTGTCCTACCTCAACCTTGCTCCCACATCCTGTGGTTTTGTGAGCTTCTTGCTGCTAGCTCATCCATACGCTACCTGCCTGGCTTATGTCAACAGCTGCCTGAACCCCTTCCTGTATGCTTTCTTCGACTTGCGTTTCCGCTCCCAATGTCTGTGCCTGCTCAACCTGAAGAAGGCAATGCATGGCCACATGAGCTCCATGTCATCAACTCTCAGTGCCCAGACTCAGAAATCAGAGATCCAATCTTTGGCCACAAAGGTTTAAACTTAAAGGGACTTAACAGGTGGTGTTTGGCTGCAGGCCGGTCACAGCGCCCACCATTGGAACACTGTCAGAACAGACTTTTGTATCCACTGATGATGATATAATGAACTTTGTGCTCACTGTCATGAATGATGGTTCTTCTCTGCTATATCAGACAGCTGGAGTCTGCAGGTAGAGCTCCTCAGCTAATCAAAGAAAAAATTTATTTTTATGTTACGTCTTGCTCTACAAAGTTTATGAATTTGAACACACACTGATGTTGGGAGACTTTTACGTGGACTATATTTCTGTTACACTGGATGAATTAGAAAGTTGTACAGTATTTTCATACCATAGCATTTTCCTGAATTTATTGATGTTTTATTTTGGAAGCACTTGTTAAATGTGTGAGCAAACAGTGTGGCATCCCCCTCAAAGCCTGTTGTTTGTGAAGTTGTGAAGGCAGAAGTCTGGGCTCAGGAGCAAACGGGCTGTAGAAGAGGGAAGGTGTTACTGCTTAATTATATAGTTAGTGTAGAGGAGACGGGGGCAGACAAGCAGATGGCAGTTGACAAATGTTGGAAAACAGGAATGGGGTGGGGTGGAGGGTTTCATGGTGTAGCCACGGCACTAAATGGGACATAGGAACTTTGTTATGGTTCCAGTTTGTTGTAAATATGTATATTTCACTGTAACTAACTGCTGTAATAAAGTTGTGTTCTATGAATCTTTTTTTTTTCATGTGTGATTAATTAACTTTTTATATTGTGACACTCTAGGAAATAACCTTTTTTGAAAGAACTCCTCCTGGTTTCACATCAGTCCCATTCTGACAGTGATAGGTATCTCTAGGGCCTTTGCATTTAGTTAACACCCTTAAGACTAAATAGATGTGTAATCTCTATTGATTCACAGGCAGTATCCAGACTGTAACCGGATTATGCAAAGCAGTGGCCAATGTGTATTCAATGGGTGCTTGCGACATTCACCAGCTGAGGTAACTGTTTGATGACACAGCCCTGGGCTTTTCAAATTCATTACCTGCTCGCTCTGCAACTCCAGCACCTAAGAGAGTTTAAGAACGGGTAAAATGGATAGTTAATGTATTAAAACATGCAGTGGTCTGTATCCACACTACATTGAGACAGGTCACAAAATGATGAGGGCTATTACCAGTGAGTGACTCTTCCTTTGATTTGACAGTAATGAGCTCTGTTGGACATAATCACCGTTTAGAGATGGCTTCGGCAGTGGGGGAAGTGGGGCTCTAATCCTGGCAGAAGCTGCACCTCCAAACAAGTCAATATTTGTCTACACTGACAAGAGCCTGCAGTTAGGGCATTGGGAGAGACATGAGGCTGTGGGCCAAAGGGAAACGGGAGGAGTCTCTACACATGCTTTATCAAACTTCTGATGACAGGGCAGACGAGTCTATGGTTTTAGGGAGAAATGAGGCAGCAGAGAATGAGGTGAGAAGGCAGAGGAGGTTAGTCCTGCTGTGTAACTTAAAGTAACACCATATGTGAAGAGACAGGAATGTGAAGCTATGATTTATCATGACTTTTGTGCAAGAGATAATCTGTCATGTGTTGGCCATCTCAGAAAAAAATAATGATTTAAGAGCAATGAGGCCTTAAATATCATTCAGCAGCCATAGCTATAAGCTATAAGTAAGCAACAATCTTGGCTTGAACTCCCATTAGCTGTCATTTATGATTATGCATTATGCAGTTTTTATACAGATATGTTATGTTTTTTATATCCGTAAGGGATTTGAACTCCCACTAAACATTAAATCATTGAGCACTTACTTTAACAGCATTATTTCTAAAGGTTTAGGAGGAATAGGGTGCAGTCAGTCATGCATGCCTGACTGTCCTGGCCTGTTGTTGGTATTGAGATAAACTGGGCTGACAGCTTGTCTTATATTGTTAGCCCACAAGTCCATTGTGAAATAACTCACCCAGAATACCAGCTGACCAAAGCACCAGGGGTCCGCAGTAGGCACGCTCGGCCGTATGGTTCAAAACAACAGTAGCCATGTTTTTGATCGTGTGTGGGCTGCTTGACCTGTTTGTGCGTTTGTGAGGGGAGTGGGTTTACATTATTCTTAAAAGGATATGAACCATGACAATCACCTGCCCTTTAACTTTGCTTTTTGTAAGATCTTAAACATGCAGTCCAAAAATACAAATCAAAGAAGATATGTTTATTAACCTGACGCTCATGTCTGTCATTTTCTTATCTGTTTGTTATTAAAGATAACAGAGTACTTGTACAATCTACTAATATATTTTTATTTTATTTTATATTGGTATACTACAGTGTTACCGTTTGCACCATCTGATCCATTGCAGAAACCTGCACCTCAGTCCAATAGTGATCTTCTCAAGCCACCTACAACTCCTCAGGGAAACATAGAGTAACTATTACTACACCACTGTTTTTTGGGTGGAACTCCAATACTGCTTAAAGGAGACATAAAATTAACTTGAGTTTTTCTTTCCTACTCATTATTATATATAATACTGTACTGAATCTGTACGGATTCTGTACTGTCCTATATTTGAGGCTTGAATGATTAGAAAATTTCAGTTTTCACCTATCTCCTTTCTCTGCCCACTTTTCTGTACTTTCTTGTACATATTCATATATCCACTATGGTTTTTACATGTAAGGTTAAAAACCATGCATCGTGATTTTTCAGCAATAAAAGATGTAAATGAAAAGCCGCTGATAAGTTTAGCAATTTGAACATGAAGTCAATAGACCTGACTGTTTCTAATATTAAGAGGTTTTACCACAATATTGAGAATTATGCTTAACATGTTATTGGTTAATACTAAATATCAGAGAAAAAGAAACAAAGAAACATAATGTCTTTTTTAAGCCATTACAAACACCATCCAAAAGTGACGTATGTACCTTGAACTATCTATTGTTCCAATAAGACACAGATATAAAAGCAGTAGACACAGGTGGCAATGTTGTCATCGCTGTAAGCTGCCATGCTCAAATGGGATAGGGGTAAAAAGAGGTGGCGCAGCTGACCCAAAACACAAGTGCTCTGGTCTTATGCTCTCCATCCCACCCAGGCATCAGAGCAACAAATGCAGTCCAGAGTGCCTCTGTATGTGTTAGCTTAGCGACAGGTGGACCTGAGTTACAGAGAAAGCAGGGTTAGCGATGACAGGCTGGGGAATGCGTCAGATCTCTGTTTACATGCAGCCCTCTACAGTCTACACCATACCCGCACCAAGCTCGCAACTATAATCACCATCATCACAAAGCTGTTAGGGAAAGTATAGATATACTAGGACAATTCACCCATTTGTAGCATTTACACAGGAATGAAACCTGAAGCTGGTAAAACCAGAGCATCACTTATCAGTTTTGGTTCAGAGCTTTGTCTGTCTGAGAAGGTAGCATTCAAGTTCTGGAATTTAATGATATGATAATTTCAAAAGGAAGACATAGAGGTGGATGCACTTTTTAAGAAAAAGAAATACATTTTGATACCTAGTGGACTGTGGAGGCTCAGATCAAGTTACTATATTAATATTGTGACTTCAGTTCATGTTTTAACCTATCATTACTCACATCTTTATAATTCAGTATACTGTTTTCATACCTTTGTGAAAATAATTCACTTGGGTTAAGTTACCCTGTAGAGGTGAGGTGGGAATTTGTAAAATATGTAAAAAATGGATGTCAAATTTTTTTTTTAAAATTTATTTATTTTATTTTTTTTGGGGGGGGGCATGCATATAAGTTTATACTTCTTACTGACGCTGACCGTCCATTTCTGTTGTGCCATTTACAAGCATTTTTTGGCACATATTGAAGATATTGCTAGTACACTGTCTGATTGTCAACAGCAGATGGGTAGTAAACTTACCTGTCAGCACTTCAGTTTTAAACTGTGGGGGTTTAATAATGTTAATCTAATATAGAGAGTTTAACATGGAGGCTTGATGGACATGAAAAAAAAGCCAAAACAAAACAGGAAAAGACACTTGTTGTCAAGTGTGGGCAGCATTTGGCCCCCTGTGAGTGTTTTGTCTGTGTGTGGGTGGCTGCTGACCGTGGATGTGTGTGGCAGTACTACAGTTTATGTTGTGTGTTCTCTTCATTGTCTTTTGTCACCTTTGTGACAGTGGTGGATGTTGTTTCTCCATTTGTAACTGCAGTTATTCACGTGCATAGAGTTAACGGACCATTGTGTTTTTTTGAACTCCTGTCACTCTTGTTTGATATCTTGAGAGGCATCTATAATACTACTTTAAATAACAAACAATCCGTTGCATTAGTTTTAGTAGTTTTGTTTATGTTAGCATGCGTATTGAAAGCATGTTTTTATTATACTCTGGCTTAATAGGAATTATAGTAAAAAATTTGGTACTGAAAAACAAAACATACAGAAGTCTGCCGCCCTCTCTGTATAATTCATTCAATACTATTGCATGGAACTTGTCAAGTAATAGCTATTTTCCATTTCCTTATTGATTTATGAGCTCCTGAATGTTTACATACTGTTTAAGAGGGGTCTTACAGTAAGTGCCGTAAGCAGAGAGGGATCGACAGCTTTGAGATGAGAAACTGTCAGAAGGATTAGGCCCCATTCCGTACAGTTAATAACATAAAGAGTCTAAGACGACCTGACTATGATCCCATCACTTGTCTAGACAGCAGACCTCCTCAGGATCTACACACTACACACTAAAAAACAAGATGGAAGTGAAGATCATTTTCTGAATATCAACAGAAACCTGCTCTCCATATGGGCCATGTCTATTGTTGTATAGGACACTTTGCTTTCTAGCAAATTATAACTGTCTGTGAAATTTTAAGAAGACATATTATATTTTCTGTATTTAGAATTAAACTATACCACAAGAAAGTAGATCATTATTTAGCATTTTGTTCATTGAAAGCCACAATATTGATGATAGTTTAATAACAATGCAAAAATTGTTTGATAACAAAAACAGGTCCAATGGCATCCTGTTTAAAATAGGAGAACAATGGTATATTTTCTCTTTCCCTTTAACCAATTCTCTAAACTCTAAACCTATATTTTTGAATAGCATGCACTGATACATGATGGTACACAATAGTAGTTAAATAATCCAAATAAAAAATAGCCGTTTACTTCCACATTTTCCAACTCTCAAAGCTTTCATTAAATAAGTCTGTCCATATTGCAATAAATGACATTTTAGGTCATGGGAAACAACAAAATCTCTAAATCTTATCCCTTAGGACTCTGATAATGGGGTAGTACAGGTCTAATCATGGCCCACCTCGTAACTACACAGCAGTCCAATACACAAGAGTCAGACCTGTCTCAGTCCACTGTCTGGTTTTACCTGGAAGTGGCTTCTCAGTGCCCAAGCCTTACAAAAGCATTTACACATTTACATGAGATCAGCATTTTCATGGTAATGGTGTTATCTTTTGGCACATTTAAGGAGTGATTAGGAAAAGTGGAGTTTCAAATAGGCTTCCCTTTTCTCCCCACTTCTGCCCATCACCCCACCATTGTTATTCGTTATAGTTCAGGTGGTCTACACCTAGGACAGCAGCAGAAAACACAGTTGGGTGAGATTTTTAGCAACTGTATATAACAGCACCTTAAATTAGCTAATGTTAGTTAAATCTATGAATATCCTATAGCAGTATTTCATTTCAGTTGTAGAACTGTTGTAGAACATTCTTCTTCACTAGCCATGAAGAAGAATGTGTATAATATATTAAAAACACACTAGGAAAAAAAAGTGATAAATTCTCCTTATAACTAGAGTTAGACTAATGTCACATATTGTCACATTTGTTCAGTTATAGGTTATCGTCTATGTTCAGCGAGTGATTCCAATGACAACATAGAGTTCATTTGAACTGATGTTAGGTAGGTAAAATCTAACATGCCTTGCAGTGCATGTTAATAAGTGTGTGTTGGTGATCGTTAGGCGGGAGATGCTGCTTCCGTGGACAGCTCGGTTTGGCCAGACCTGAATGTGCTGGACTCTCCTCTCCGGATACACTCGCTCAGGCCCCATCACCATTTGGACACAAAGAGCCTCTTCACGCCCTTCTCTATCCAGTCCATTGTGGAGGCACTGACTCGAGATGCGCTGGTCAGTGGCTGCTACTGGGCTAAATGCCTCTCCTGTCAGTGCTTGCCCCTGTGCCAGTTCAGCTGCTGGATTTTCAGGTGCCCAGGTCTGCACTTTGTATGTATCACATGCCAAACCTGATTTTCTCATTAGCCCTCACCCTAAGCCAATATGATCCAGTTGACCAACTGAGCAAAATACTATCCTAACTGTCAACTCTTCATGCCACCTAATTGTAGTTTAATGTAGGCGGCATATAGGCATATACAGTGTAATGTTTATATTAAGACTAGGCCCTACATGTGTATAATAACAGCATATTTTGTAACATGAAGTATAAGCTATAAGGACAAAAACAGGTCAATTTAACATTATTATATTTTATTTACTAGCAAATAACAAAAAACAAACTGTAAGCCTTCTGATCCACAGGACTCTTACTTTAACATTTTCTCTGTTTGTCCACTGGGGAGCAGTAGTGCACAGCTAGGCAAAAATACTAAAATTGTTTAAATATAGGGTACACAACACCTTATGTAGACTGATGATGTTAGATGTTCTTTGCATTGGAATATTCCAGGCTATCAATCAATCAAACTTTATTGATAGAGTCCTTTACAACACTCAATGTGACCAAAGTGTTTTACATTAAAATCAACACAAACCCACAAACATTTGACACTACCAGGCCAAGCTATAGCAGTTAAATCTATGAAGTAGCGAGCCCACCCATAGTAAAATGTGCACTATACAAGGTATTTTTTATTTTTGTGAAAGTAGACAATATCCATTCATGATTTCACAATTATTCACAACTGACACCTATTATTATTAATTACGATTCACCAAGTGTCTGACCATCTTTGTAAAATAAAAATTTCCTATAAAGTAAATGTGAACTATTTGTAGTATATGTATTGTATTATTATTGTGATCTGAATAATCCCAAATATATTTTCCAATTAACGTCATCCTCAAGTGAAACATATGATGGTTGTATGATAATAATCTGGCTCCACCTGCTGGTGAAGTAATTACTTACAACTTCAAATAAACTTTTTTGTTTATTATAGTAGGATATTCTTATGCAATACAAAAGCCATCATATTGAACAGAGTGGATTACAGAGACATTTTCCTCTGCTTTGCTATATAAGCTTGCTATTGTTTTACAAAGAGTACTACTAGAAAATGCTTTGCTTATCAATATGACATGTCCATCTTAGCCAAACAACAGTTATCAGTTTCCTGTTGTAGTTTTGGCCTGGGCTGGTCTTTTCGGCTGCCGTGGTCCTGCAGGAGGAAGAGGCCTGCGGCTCTGATAAGTTTTTGCTATGGTTGACGTGAGTGTGTTGTCTCGCCCCAGTCGGGCTTTTGAGGAGGCCAGGGTTTCAGATTTGGCTCGTGGGCCCATGATCACGGGGGTGCATGTTTTGGGGATGATAGTGGTCATGGTCCGGGTCAGAACTCTCCCTCTCAGAGCCATTGGAGGAGGAGCTGCTGAAGAGGGATGCTTCTTATCTGGACCTAGTTTTGGTTGTTCCTTTGGACATGTGATCACATCTTTACTCAACATCTTTTCCTCCAGCTTCTTTATAGCTTGGTCAGTGTAAGCCTGCATTTCATTACGCAGCTGCAATATCTGAACTTCAAACTCCGCTGTCAGTGCCTTTTTACTAGTCTCAAGCTTCTCCTCAAAAACAGAGCAGGGGTCTTCTTCCTCTTTTTGATTCCCCATGTCCTTTTGTCTCTCATCTTCACTGTTATCATTCTCTGTATCCCCATTTACTTGTATAGTCTCCACTTCTTTCTCCCAAACCTTTTGGACTAGTGCTAGTATGCTGCTTTTTGGGGTCCTCACACAGCCCTGTGATCTGATTTGTTTACGTACCTGCTGCAAAATAGACTGCATCTTGACTTGGGTCTCTTTGTCATTCGCCTCCTTGTCTTCCCCTTGTAGGCTGGCAGAGGGTGCATACTCCTCTGTCTGACCCTTGCTTGGTGCTTCGTCCGGGAGTGATTCATGTTTTTCTCCGTTGAGCAAGATTTGCAGTTCAGTTGATGATAAGTCGCTCATTCCTGGAGTTTTTGTTGAGGCTGTCTGTAGCACCGGTATAGTGTGAGATACCATGGAGTGAAACGAGCCCAACAGAGTCTAGAGTCAGTCCCCTGAGAGATTGAATACACAACGGATATAGTATGGGGTAATGCAGCAAAACAATTCACAGAACACAACTGCTTTACTCAAAAGAGATTGTATATTTATAACCTATTAAAAACTTACATTTGATTGGGTAGAATATTAACATTTTATGAACAGGTACTGCCCATTTTCCAGCTCAGTTTTTAAGTTTTCAGAATATTACACTATGTAGTACATTTGTAAATAGATGAAGCACATAAGCACTGAATGTATTCATTTCATTTCCAGCTAATTTTTTGTGAGTAATATCTAATGTATTTTCAAGCAGTTGCAAAAATATCTATCTGAATTTTCCCCTTTAAAATTTATGCATTTTGCATTTATACTTTGATTCACTTATTGTAAATGTACATCATTGAAATTAACTTTTAGGTAGAATATCTGCATGTTGAATCCAGCATTTGTGTTGCCTGAATTGAAAGAGTGAAGTGGTGGCTCATAACAACATAAAGTCCTTTGAGAGCTGTCTGAAAAACAAAAGTCTTTTGGGAAACTGCACTGGGATCTCTTTAGTCTCTACTGCCATGTACTTGTCTATTACTCGAATTTAGAGCAATTTAGTTACTCGCTTCATCATATACAAAGAAAATCTAAGCAGAATGTCAATGCAGGATTATTAAATACATCAACCTTGTTGGTTAGTTTAGTTATTTCTGGTAGTAATATGACTCTAATCTGATTAATGTCTAAGCAATAGACTTTTGATTCAATTTTGAATAGATTTTTGTCAGTATACAGTAATAGACCTAAATCTAAAACAAGCCAATATTTGTTAAAACTGTAAAGGCAGACTGGTATGCTTTTGTGATGGCAATTTGATTTTTATGATCTCTCATTGTAGTAAGCAGCAATCATCAATGTGATTTGCAGAGCATGTGGAGGAGGGTGCTCAGGGAGGAGGGTGCTTTAGTACCAAACTGACCAATGGGAGATCTGCTCCAGCGAGCCACCTCTTGCCACTAAACACTAACATATGGACTCCATCTTTTTCTAGAATATACTCTGCCATACTAAACCTGCTGGAAATAAACAGATTTGAGCCATGTTTGAAAAGTGTCATTTAGAAGGAACATTTATCTTTACCTAACTATTACATGTATATATTTATTGACTATTCAGACTTTTTATTGTCTACATCATTTACAACTCCCTATCCAAATGCCTAATAGAATAGAAAAAAAAGAAATGATTTTGCAGTGCATGTAACTCCTCTAGCAATTATTCTTGACAGTTTCTATTATTGCAGTGCTGAAAGTGAGTTCATTATGATTATCCACATGCAATCCATCATTGTCCAAATAAGCATCTTTTTGACCCCCCTTCCCTCCTCTCCTCGTCACTGGGCAGGAGGCGTGGAAAGCCATAAGAGCAGCTTTTAAAATCCTGCGTTTATGCTAAAGGTTTTCCCGCACTGTCAAGAAGTGTGACCGAGCAACAGAATGGTTAGTAAAATAAATTATTTTGTTTTCTAAATAGGATTGGTATTATACTGTATTAGTTTAAAAGTTGCAAAAACTTTAATTTGTTCAACATCTCTATTTTCTGATTACAGACCACATACACAGACAAAGGTGAGAAGGTATGTATTAAGCAACAAACAAATTTCATAACTTTATTTTAAAAAGAAAGTATTGTAATACAGCTGTTACTGATTCATTTTGTTAACTTGTAATTGTGGTCTGATAAGCCTTTCTATATTTTTAGCATGAACAAGGCAGGTTTCTCTGCTTCGATCACCTAACATTTTGGGTTGGAAATGCCAAACAGGTAAGATAAAAATATTTACTGAATTATGTCACAAGATTTTAGTGGTATCCATAAACTAAGCCTTGCTATTGGCTCTCTAGAGGGGAGGCATCCTTTTGTGATATTCACATAGAATACAAACTGCTATACCATTAAATCACCAACAGATGGTGCTAATGTATAGTGTTTTTTCACTGATCTTATTCAAACGTTATGTCTCTTTTGTCAGGCTGCATCATTTTATTGTAATAAACTGGGCTTTGAGCCTTTGGCCTACCAGGGTTTAGAGACTGGCAGTCGTGACGTAGTGTCCCATGTGGTCAAACAAGGAAAGGTAAAACAAAAACACTGAGTGAAACTTAAGTTACAAATGATGATGATAGTTTTATATGAAATTAAACATGTTACATAATGTGTCCCACAGATCATTTATGTCTTCTCATCGGCCCTTAATCCTGGAAACAAAGGTACAGTATGACACTCAAAGAGTACAATACAATTCAGTACAATTGTGCGTGTGTGTGTATAGAATATATGAATTTACTGTATAGTTTATCTAGTTTCACAATTATTGTTCAGAAGTTTAATGTATTTTGACAGTGCCTTAATTCTTAATGCTAACATGTACTAATCTTATATTTACTAAAATGTGAGTTACATACATTATTTCAACATTTTTCAGAGATGGGAGACCATTTGGTGAAGCATGGCGATGGTGTGAAGGACATTGCATTCACTGTGGAGGATTGTGACTTCCTGGTGCAGGTATGACAGATTCACTAATATTCATATTAATATTTTTAATATTTGTTTAATTTTGGGTTTGTTGAACTGGGTTTAAAAATTCAACTATTTTCTTGAACACAGAAAGCACGTGAACGAGGTGCAGTGGTTGTAAAGGAGCCTTATATCTTGGAGGATAAATTTGGTAAAGTAAAACTGGCGGTGCTTCAAACGGTAAGATATTATGCTATAAGCTAATATGCATATCACAAAAACAATAATAAGACTAAATATGATAACATGTCTCCTGCTTGACGCTTCAGTATGGAGACACCACACATACATTTGTGGAGAGGATGGGGTATAGTGGTTTATTTCTGCCCGGGTTTCAAGAACCTCTATTCAAGGATCCTTTGTTAACCAAGTTGTAAGTAATGCATAGGTTGCTTTTTAAATTAATATAACAAAACTAACTAAAATCTTGTGAGTTGCTGTGACAAAGTGTAAAATATATCTAATTCTACTTCCAGGCCTGATGGTAAATTGAAGTTTATCGATCATGTTGTGGGGAATCAGCCTGATGACGAGATGGTCCCTGTGGTTGAATGGTGAGACATATTTTACTGTGAGCACAAAGAAACTGCTGTTTTCTCTATATCTCTGTCATGTCATTGGTCAAGGCTGAGGTCAGGAGGTTGTTTAAAAGTGTGTCCGCATATTGCATAACTCTCTTTTTGGCGTAACTTAGGCATCACCGTGACTTAGCAGTTTTTTTTAGCACGCCTCTGGTGACTCCCACATCTGGATCTGGTTTCAACACCATCATCTCAGCATGTGAAGGGGAGGAAAGCCAGATCTCTAAATGAGTGAGCTGATTGGCCCAGAGATACTCGCAGGGTGTAACAGAGGCTGTGGATTTTTATGTGATGGGTGAAATAATAAATCATCCAAAACAATTAATGTCAATGTACCAACTGGTATTCCCACCCATACTAGATTGTTGATACTAAAAGTATAGTGTCCTTATTTTGAGACCTAACATTGGGGGTATTGTTTTTGAAGTTATACATGACATGACAAACATACATCTCAAATATATTAACTGATGCGTGATATCACATGATAGCCTGGTTTGAAGGAAGAAGGGGTATGTGTCCAGCCTGTACTTGATTTTTTTTAAATATTAACAATTATTGTAAAATTTAGTAATTTTTATTTTCTAGTGAAATTATATTGTATATTGACAGGTATCGAAGGAACCTTCTCTTTCATCGATTCTGGTCTGTGGATGACAAGCAGCTTCAGACTCAGTTTAGTGCCCTACGTTCTATTGTTGTAGCAAACCATGAAGAGACTGTCAAAATGCCCATCAATGAGCCTGCCATGGGAAAGAGGAAGTCTCAAATCCAGGCACGATATCTTTTAAATATTTTGTATCAAAGAACATAATTATCACACAGCAATGCTCCTAAGGCAATAGATGAGATTGTTTATTTCCTAGGAATATGTGGAGTACTATGGGGGCCCAGGTGTACAGCACATAGCCATGAACACATCAGATATCATCACTGCTGTAAGTTATACACCAAACTTTAAACCAATGCTAACTGGAAATGAGGATAATAAATTCATATATTTATGCAGATTCAAAATCTGAAGGAGCGTGGGATGGAATTCATGTCTGTCCCAGACACATACTATGAACAGCTCAAGGAGAAATTAAAGTTTTCCAAAGTCAAAATCCAGGAAGATTTGGATGTTCTGCAGGTTTGACTATGGCCCTTACACATTACTGCTATTGCATTCACGTTCAGTATTGACCAATTGATGAATCTCACAGGATTGCATATCATTTACAGAAGCTGAGGATTTTGGTGGACTATGATGACAATGGTTACCTGCTTCAGATCTTTACAAAACCAGTTCAGGACCGTCCCACTGTGTTCCTAGAGGTTATTCAGAGACACAACCACCAGGTGGGTGTAACACTTCATTTGCAGCATACTGCTCCTTTCTGAATTTATTACAATAGTCTATATCAGTGTATATTTATAATAATAATAGTGCTTATTTTATTTACATCTTATTAGGGATTCGGAGCTGGAAACTTCAAGTCTCTCTTTGAAGCAATTGAGGCAGACCAGCATGCCAGAGGAAATCTGACAGTTCTGACCCCCAATGGAGTAACAAAAGGAATGTAACAGCAAAAACACAAGGAGTAACCTATATTCACTTTTAAATAGGCAGACAATGTTAATATTTCTCTGGATCAAGGCGGTAACATCGACTTACAGAGATACAAGAGATCTGCAATATTTTATTTAAACAAACATGTTTATTACTTTCCTTTTTGAGAAACATTGTATGCATTTGTATTGCTTATAAACCATTTACATACTATCAGTCACTTAGTATCATAAGTTTATTTTATCAATATATAAATGTAAATGCCTGACTCAAGCAGTGATTATGCTTTCCAAATGAAAACTTTAACATTTTATACAATTTAAGGTCTGTAACAAATGTGGTATTTTTTCTTACATCGTTGCTGTTTTTTAAATTCAGTGCTGTTGGTCATTATTGAATTTGTGGATTTAATATTTAGTCATCAAACTCAATATTGATGCTTACTATTAAAATATACTTTTGTATAAAATGTACCCTTTATTCTTAGCATTAACACAAGTTTCTTGGGGAAGTTACTTTGCAGTCTGGTTACAAACAGTATTTTGGTATTCAGTTCAGTGATCCTTTGCATGTGTCTGCTCCACATAAACAAGGTATTTTAGTCTCCTCAATTGGGAATTTGTAGTCATATGTAATCTCTTCATTTATGTTGATTTGTTGTCTAGAGTAAATGACAATCTTCTTCTGGGAATCCACTGTAATGATCTTTGCATAGCAGTTTGGCTGGAGAATAAGGAAATGCATTAGCACACAATAAATAAATATGAATTATCACTGTATCAATACACTTACATTGCAACTGTGGTTGATAAATCTGGCCAAATTTCCACATTTAGTTGCATCTATAATGGTGTCCTGATCCACTCGAAATAAATAGCTGCTTCCAATCCCCTCCTCTTCATATTGCTGCTCCCGCATGTCAGCAATCACCTGAGGGGGAAGACAAGACATATTTAGTGTTTACTCCAATGAGTGCCTGGAAACTACCCAGAACAACCAGAGGTCTCAATGGGCTTTAGATCATCAACTCATCACGCAAAACCCAGCTATCTACAGCAGGCTGTCAGTAGGATTAGGGTATTAGCTGGAGTGTACTGTAGTGTTCTGTTGTATTAGTATTATGTTTTACTGAATGCATTACCTGTCTGATAACCTCGCCTACATACTCAATCACCATTTCATCTGCTGCTATAGGCTCCATAGCAAACAGGCCCCATTCATGGATGAGACTGCGACTGAAACGAATCCTTTTCTTTCGAAACTAGGGTTAGAAGATAAAAATTACACACTGACACAAATATAAATGTTTTTTTGGCCCTATGCATTAGATAAATCACCTTGAGCTGGTTGAACGTGACCAGGTCACTGTCAGCGTTGAAGTTTGACAACAGACGTCGTTGCTCAAACCTAAAGTCTGAAGTGGCCCGCAGCAGTGTGGGCAATGGAACATGGACACAGGCACCCTGCCAAAAAAAAAAAAAAAAAGTCTTAAAAAATTATTTTCTTATTTTCAAAAGAAATAATGTAACAAACCATAACATTCCAATAAAATTGTGCATTACCTGTGTGCTACTTGATGGACTTGCTGGTTTTAAATTGAGATAATTCATTTTCTCTCTCTTGCTGATTTTGTAGTAGCCTTCACTTCGGGCAGAGCCGGTCCTATGGTACAAGCACTGGGACCTATAGCCATCTAAGGCCTCTGGGAGAACTTTGGTTGGTAAACGACAGTTAAGGATGTCTAAACCACAGCTGAAATTATTATTATTCAAAAAACAAGCCATCTTAAGTTGAGACATGTAAAGGATATAGGGATGAGGAATCCAAAGTGTCTCACTGAGCCACCCGAGGCCATTATCTTGTTCTTGAAGCCTTTCATAAGTGCATCTGAGCAGCTTTGCATCTTCTTCATCTAGCCCCTCTTTCCAAACACTATGAAGGATCCTCCTCTCCTCACAGTGTGTGCGACACCTGTGAGCCCCCACTGAAACCGGCCTAACACCAGTGAATCTCCTTAAAGACTTCTGCCACTGCTGGACTCTCTTCTTTCTCTTTTTCAACTCCTTTTGCTTTTGGTGTAGCAAGGACCTTTTTAATCCTTTGCAATTCTTGCCATCCAAAAGTCCCAGCACATTTTCAAGTCCCTGTAAGGGTTTTGGTCTCACTTTTCGCCTGCAACAGCTGCTAAAGTCCTCTGCTGAATCGGACCAATATTCAGAAAGACTGGAGGAAGGTGATAGGGGGTAGGGAGAGCAACCAGCAAACATTGTGTTTGTGATCTGTGTCTTTCTCTGATGCAGTATGGACCTTCTTGGTAAAATCATGTCTCTTCCTGGAGTCTTGGGTACTTGCATGTATGTGTTACTGCATAGACAATGAGGACTGGTTACTGGCGAACTACCATCTAACATATCTCTCCCTGGAGTTGCCGGAGCGTTGATAGAGGAGTATCGAGAAAACCCATATCTTTCCTCTGCACCTGGAATTACTGGGACATCCTGATACAATGAATGTGGCACTTGCACTTCAGGTGGAGCCGAAGCACAAGTACATGGAAAAAGGACATGGCTATCGCTAATGTCTGACTCATCGCTCCCAAGTTCGGACAGTATTCCCCGGCCTGGAGTCCTTGGGCATTCCACCTCCTCCTCAGCAGGGGATGTGGGCTTACTTCTCAAAAGGTCAGGGTCACTATCTGCCAAATATCCAGTAGGAGTTGGTGGTCTCATGTCTTCAGGAGAATTGTCAGTCCATTCAGGACTTAACATCTCTACATCAGGATGTGGCTCTGCAACACAAACATATATACAAATTAGCAATGTTAACACCAGATTTTCTATTTTTGCTGCCATAATTAGGTCAAAGGTCAAATAAATACACTTAAAAATTATTTTCTTTGGTTTAACAAATGTAGAAGACAACTATACTTCATAGAAAATGTTTTAAAGCCATTAGTTCAAAATGATTAATTATGTATACCTAGTCTTAGTACTTATTTGAACATCACATTAAATAAAGTTAGTTGATGACTGTAGAAGTAAGAATAGAAGGGAACAATTTACCTATGATTGGTAAAGGAGATGGTAATGGAATTTCCATGGATTTGGCCATTTGCAGGTCCAACATAACAGCTGTATCATGTGTATCTTGTGGACAGAAAATTTCCTCATTGTCATCATTATATACTCCATGTGCTTGAAAAGGCTCTAACCAGTCTGGCAGATCCAAGTCCAGCACTGCCTTAGGCGTCTGTGGGGTGTGTGGAGTTGGAGGCGTATGGGGACTTTCAAGCTCCATAGACTCTTCATCTTCTTCATCTTCATCAGAGGAGATCACAATACACTCATCCGTTCTTTTGTCCTCCTCCATGTCTTCAGTACTCAGGTCGGATTCAGAATCAAAGCTGTCGGACGAGTCAAAGTCTGAAGAGGACTCACTCACCTCTGAATTGCTGCTATCTGAAAATGTGTCTTTGATAAGAGGCCAATAAGTTAGACATAAAATAAGACATGTATTTAACAACATGAAAACTCAAAGAAATCATAATGATAAATTCATATAAAAGTTTATATTTTGCCTAAAAATATAGATCTGAATGTAAGCAGACTAAATGCTTTATAACAAACATAGCTATTTCCTAATAACTCACCAAGATCGGAGGATATCACCTCTGCTGATGTTTGAAAAGTTACATCAATGTTGTTCTCAGTCCTTTCCCTGTCAGGACTCACACAGATGTCTTTGACTTTTTCCTCACTCTAAAATATCAAATAAAATAAACACTGAATATTACATCCAGAGTGCACAAACATATATTTCTTGAAAATACTGTTGATTCGAAAATAAACACAAAGTGCAAATTGTTGCATCATTACCAAATTCTGAATGTTCTCCTCGAATGGCACATTTGTCGTGATTTTGTGAGACACATCTTTGTCATGATCATTTGTTTTAGCATCTTTAACACTTTCCTCTTTGACATCATCTTCTTCATCACTGTCCAGGACATGAGGTCGTGCATGTCTCCGTCTGCCTTTCTGAGATGTTGTCTGCTGTGTGTCTTCTCCATTCACATCTAAAATCCCACTCAGTGTTATTTAAACAACATTCAAGTTGTAATTTTCTTTTACAAAAATGCACTTACTAGAATTTTCTGTCACATTTTCTCTATCTTCAATTACAGAAGAATCATTATCACATTTCCTTTTTACCTGAATGACATTGATATTATTTGCATGCAAAATATTTGGCAAAACAATGTTGTTCATGAGTAAATTTGTGATTGTTTTACCTTAAAAGAGGGAAGTGGTTTTTTTTTGACCTGCCCATTTATATTACTTAAAGAATGTAATAGTTTATTCCTGTCTTCTGAACTTGCTAGGAGGTTTTTTACTGGAGATGTCTGTACCTGAGGAGTTGCACACAAACCATTAGAAATTTTTGAATTTTAAGGTTTAAGAGAAAGTGGTACCAGTAGTAACCTTTGCTTTTTCCTCTTGGCTGTTCCACCAGTCTTCAAAGGCTTTAAAGGCAAATCCCTCTATCATTCTGCGTGTAATGTCCTTCTTTATGATGGATTTGAGTTCATTCATAACAACTTCTATGACTTTTTCCACAGTGATCCTATGGAGGTTTTCTTTGATAAGTGAGTGGTGTGGAGGGGGTATAAAGGGGTTGAATCTGGGAAATTGTAGAGGCCAAGGTCTACAAAATGGTATGGGAGCATTGATGGGCCTAATGGCTGCCCCCTTGTCTAAAGTGAGTGGAAGCGAGTTTATTTGTGGAGGTGGTGGGACAGGAGGAGGCAGCATCAGTCGTGGAGGGGGTCCCAAAAAACTGGGGGGTGGAGGCATGTGGCGTGGTGGAAGAACAGGTGGAGGGATGCTTGGAGGGGGTACCAAGATGGTGGGGCGAACTGAGGGTAGGATCCAGCCTGGAGGAGGAATGGGGATTGTCCCATTGGGAAGACGAGGGGGGATTGGAGGAAGAGAGGGGGAAAAGAAAGGAGGAGGAGGAAAAGGTGGAGCAGAAGGTTTAGACACAGGAGATTGCTGGAAGCTGCCTGAGCAAGGTAATAGCATCGAGGTGGATTCTTTTGTAGATACTGATGCTGATGGGGCTGCTACATCCTCTTTGTTTCTGTTGAAATGTGTGGCGTCACAAGGATGTGGGGACAGTGAGTTCTTCATGAGAAAAGAAACCGCTTGAGCTGTTTCATCCTCTTCACTCTCAGTAAAAGATTTCCCGCTGATATCCTCAAGGTCATGGAGCAGATCTAGAGAACCAAATGCTTCATCTGAAGAGTCACGAGCAGCACACGGAGACACTGGACTCTCACATAAGTGATCTCCTTCTGAGGATTTCTCGTCAAACAACAACGGGCCTGTGAGCTGATTGCTTGTCAACAAACTTTCAATGCGGGAATCCAAACTCCACTGTTGGGGGCGGGGGGAATATACTGCCGTAGAAGGTGAATTTATTATGCCGGCATTATCTTCCACAGAGGGCACTGATGTTGCTCTGTTGTCTGTAATATTGAGGTTAAGGATGTTTAGAGAGTCGCAGCTCAAAGTTTTACTCATAGACACACCACTATTGTGGTCAGACCGTTTTTCTCTTTGAGCAAGTAGTTTAAGTTGAACCAGTGATGGCCAACGTCTAAAATGTGCAGTTTCTCTGAGGCCTCTGTGAAAATGTGTGAGCTTTCCATGTAGTTCATGTCTCATGTTTTTATGAATGTTAGAAGTAGAATCCCCCTGAAGAACTGGAGTTGCCTGCAGACTAGAGTAACATGAATCCTGTGAAAGTGGGGTTAAAGGTAAACATGGAGTTCGGGGAGTTCCAAAAGATCGAGGTGTGACCCCAAAGCTGCAGGGCGTGTCCAGCCACACACTGGAGTACCCTGTATCCTGAGAGAGTGGAGAGCTAACACTGGAGGGACTGGACACGCTCCCCCTGCGTGCCCCACTGCCACTGTGCTGCAAAATAATGATGTACAGAAAAGTCAATAATAGTACAACTTCAATATAAACATTTAATTCTTAAAAACACAACATATTACCAACAAGTTGTCAATGAGACTCTGAAGACCTTGTTCACTGCTTCCCACTGGTAGTGTCCAAGGTGTATAGAGGCCATGGATAAGGAGTTGAATGTAACGTGCCCGCTGCTCACCTAAAAATACAAATCTAAATTATTAATTTACAACAACACTATAGTTTTCATCAATTAGAACTGTATAGTTGTCTTACCTTTAGGGTCAATTTCCACATGTATAATGTTTCCCATCACTGACGTCTCATTCAGGTGTTCAACAGCATCTTTTGCAGCCTTCACAGTCTCAAACACAACTTTAGCAACTCCTAAGTGCTTTTTATTCTTGGGGTTATAGAAGACTTCCACTTCCTCCACTTGTCCATATTTTTCACACATGTTTGAAAGCAATGCCTCCTTCACATTGTCATTCAGCCTGGCAAAAGTTACTTCTTTGGGAGGAATTGGACCCACATAGTATTCATCAACCTAAAAGGCCATTCATATGTAGTAACAATGTTATTAAAAAAGCTGTCATTTGTAGGGAAAATATTTACACAATATCATATTTAATTACTTTAAATTTGGGACGCAAAAGTTTGATCTTATGACTTCGGCTCCATAGGCGACATATGCGAGGATCTCTAACATCTTCTACAGGGAACAGACCCAAGTCATCAACCTGTTCAGAAAAACAGTGCTTTTACAATACAGTCACATATTTTTACATGATTTGTTATTGATAAATTGTGAAATAAACAAATATTACTGCACTTACGGGTATGCTAAATCGCTCTCCGTCAAATCGGTACACTTTGTATAATCCTATTGTCAGTGCCGGGTCAATTACCAACTTGCAACTTCTCCAGGGCTGAGGCGATGATTCCTTTTCAGAAATCTGTATTTCGCTTTCCATTACATTTGTCAAAACCTAATAAACACAATAAAGTAAACAATAGGAGCAGAGACGGTGCTGTGGTTGCAGGCAGTCACCTCTTTATAGCGGTAAGCTAATCTAGTTCACAGGAGGTTAACACGCCCCGACAGGTGATGGAGAGCATCACCTGTTACATTTATTCTTTTCCGAAATAAGGAATATCACAAAACATTGTATAAAGAAGCCACTAGTTCCACACTGATAATGTAAGCTGTTACTGCGTACCTGTGCCAAAGTTGTGATCTTTTTGGGGCCAACATCGCGGAGCAGATGGAGTGTTTTTCCGCTGTTTTACTGTGAGGAAAATTAATAGATCCTTCCGCTAAAGAAATATAGATCGTTAAGAGAGGCAGGCGGAAGAATACAGCATCACTGTTCCTAAGTGGAGCAGCTGCTGTAGGCAAACCTACCTGTGATGCTTTGTTTATAATAATACTAATAGTATTATTGAAGGGGGTGTAATTATGACGTTTTGTCTTCAATAATTAAAATAAAGACATAAACAATTAAGAGCCATACATGGTTCTCTATTAAAGTAAAAAAAAAAGAAAAGTTTTACAACTATAAGGTTGTGAACTGTGAAGTACTATTATGACTTTACTCTACTATTATTTCTGAGTAGACATGCATTTAGTCCTAGGCCAACTGTAAAGTAAGTATTCTTATACTTCCAGCTCACTGCACTGACCCCCTGTTTATCTCCATTGTAAACAGCTCTGGATCTGAAGGCACAGCACTGTTTTAACATTGTCCAGAAAGTGTCCAAGAGAAATTGGATCTTCATTTTGAAGTCTACACAAAAAGGAGCATGTCTATGTTTTTTTACATTAGAAACACAAACAAGCCTAATACGTAATAATAAAACATTTATTTTCATAGTGGTCACGTGACCATAGTGCATGTTTGTAATTTACAACTTCACATGCAGTAAACAGTATTAAAGCATAACACACAATAAAAATAAATAAAGAACCAATGTTGCTGTAAAAATGCATGTCATGCAGTTTTAACATGATCCAGTAGCAAAAATAAATATGCCGAAAATCGGTACCATAGAAATGTGTACCAATCAAAAGGAGTTCTCCCTATTCTGTTATTTAAACATCATCAAAATACTGTGCAATGTGCCACAGGCCAATGACAATAGATATCCAGCATTTCATTAAAGCATTAAGTAGTAACAAAGGTTCAGCAAACAGAAAATAAAAAAGTACCAAACACATTTTAAAAAACATACTTCTATGCAAAAGCTGTAACCACCACAGACATATTTCATGTTTTAACAAAAATTCCCCTCAATAATGTTCTGCCATATAACTAAAGTAACAAGGTGCACAGCATTTAAAACTTAGAAAGCAAATATTGTCTTACATCACCCTGTTTTAACATGATGTTTTAAGCTATATATTAAATATTTTCTCTGTTACATAACAGTACAAAAAGATGTATAAAGAGTTCACATAACCATTGCTAATCTTTATATTTAGTGGAAAAAAAGTTAAATTGTCATTGTGAAGACCTTTATTTTATTGTTTTTAGATTAAACCTGAGATTAATTATCTTAGTTTTAATCAAATTTTGGCCAACCAGAAATTGGCCAAACGCCACATGAACATCAACCAAAATGTGATTTCAGTGGAAAAGTTCCTATTTTCTTCATCGATTTATGCCAACAGATTTAAATAATGGTGATAAAATTAAACAATAAGATTGATCTAGTTAATTGTTGTAATATTTTTGTAATCAGGAAAATGCTGCACCTTGAGCAATTTGGATCCATGTGATATGATGTGTTTCAAACTGAATTGTACAAGTTAAGTTAATGGGTTTTAATAACTACATTGTGGGATCCAAAGAATCCTTGCATAATACAAGAATACCACATTCCCAACTTTTCACACAGTGATTAGATGAGGGCTCAAAATCTAAAAGAGTACATGACATTCTAACTTCACAGGAAAGGCCACTGACCACATTTTTTGCAATTCTGAAAGTGTACAAACTCACCACAAGCTTTATGTTGATATGTAAAAAAGATTTTGCCCAAAATGCCAATTATTCCCTTTAGATGCTAGCTCTATTTTAATGTAATCTGTCCTTATATTTTCTTAAGGGAAGGCCTTGAGCTCATCATTCTCAGCCCTGTGATCGAGCTGGTTCTGAAGGCGAATGACCTGCTCCAGCTCCCTGATCTGACGGTCGGTTTTGTGGCTCACAAGTGTGCGGTAGAAGTGCACAGCAAACAGAATGAACACGATCCCAAATGGCACCATGATACAGGTGGAAGCAAGGGCCGCTGCCTCTCCAGAGCTGATGGTCCCATTTTTGCCATCATGACTGCTTTTAAGAGGTAGGAACTTGACCCAACATAACAGCATGACCTCAGTAAGAAAAAGGAGAGTACCGATAACTGTTGAAAAAGCCCAAGCCAGCTCAATGTGGCGGTGCATGCGCTCATGTGGAGATTCGTTGACTGAATTTAGGTTGTGGACATTGCTGACTGCTTCCAGATTGGGGAGAATGCAAGTGCTGATCATGAGAGCAAAAAGATGCACTGCAACCAGGACAGTGGTGCAGGCACTGAAGGCAATGAGGAGTCCAGGGGGGTACTCATGGTCAGGCTCCAGCTGCACTTCCACCATGGCAACCTGAACGAACAGAAATATGAGGTTATAGGCAAAAGTAACGTTATTAGTGTTGTATTGTAGACTATTAAGCAACTGTAGCCATTGCCAAGTATTTTTCCTCTGGGATGATCAAAATGTCACACTATCACTGATACAGCCACTTATTTCTACAACTTCTTACTAGACTGCTCTTACAACTTGCTATGTGATGCTTCTTCCGCTATCAAACCACTATACTTCCCTAAATGTTTTAAAACATTTCACGAAGTTACCAAAAAGCACACAGTTGAAAGAACTAGCTAGTAGAAGATACGTTGTACAAGTTTCACCAATACTCCATTAAAAAAAATACATTTTCTAATTACGCCTAATACATTAGATAAACTACAGTAGGCTACGGTTCTTTGCATTGTGGTGTCATCTTAAACATACAATCTGCGTCACGTAGTCCCGAGCTTCATTCCTATGCACTACAGTAAAAGAGAGATTAATTTTCCAGAAATGTTTTACCATCGCAAATCCAGACAACAAGGCTGATGTGCGGCTGGTCGCTTTGAGTTTAGCTCGACTCAAGTAAAGTTTCCTCCATGAAAGCGCCTGCAAGGAGTGCTCGTTCAAACTCATTCCGCGAGTTCTTGCAAATAGTTACGATAGTTTTATGTAGCCTAACTTAGCAGGACAGCGTCCCTCAACATAAAACTACAAACAAAAACGCAAGCGCGTTAAAACAAAATAGGTCTACACTATCAAGACCGATAAACAAACACTACAACTTAGTAGGAACAGCTGACTGTCGGAGTCGATCAGGAAACTCAAGATACCCACAATCCAATGCTCTACACAGCAGACCCTGCAGCTGTGCCATAATGTAATAGATATGTGCTCCCTCTGTAACTCAAAGGCATATTGTTTTAACCTTTCCTGTTTTGATATCAGCTCTACACCAGGGGTACAGCACCCTTATAGCTTAGTTAATAACGTAATGTGGCGTTTTGGGTGCCAGTATGGTAGGTAATAAACTTTAATTAAGCTGTAGCCTACTTTAGTTTTCTTCCTTTGCTTTTATTTCTTAGCCACAAGAGGGCGTCGTAACATTAGTAAGTTCACTAAAGCGGTGAAGAGCCATTGCTTATGTCACATGTGGTACATTACTTACAAGTACACAACATCATCCAGTAACCAATAGTTAGATGTAAAGTTAATTATTTAGTGAGAAGCAAGTAAAAGTCGAGTACACTACTCACACTGAGCTAGAACACAATTCAGTAAAAAACAAAACATTAATAGATACAATTATTTATTATTATCCATGTTATTTTCTCAATAATGGACTATTGCTATTACAAAAGAATTACCCTACCGAAACCATGCGCCCTGGTGGCCAACATTTGCAGCAGCTGTTCTGTTCGCCTGTCTCTGGGCTGTGCTGGTGCGTCCTTGTGGGTCGCTGTGGTGCGTCGGCGCGGTGCGCAGGGGAGGCGGAGTGTGGACGGGAGGTTTGTTCAGCCATGTTAGTTTTCTCTCACAAACGATATGAGAGTGTGGAGCTATGGCCTTGTCAATGAGCGGAGACGACGAAGAATATGATTCAGAGTCTGAACAGGTCAGTCTAGTGGTTTGTTCATAGCCATCTCCTGGATGTGTTTTGGTTAGTGTTTCACATGTTAGCTAGCTAATGTTTTGCGACGGATATATTGTGTAGTAGTCTGTGGTTACTGCTATGTTTCATACGCTCTTTCTCTCATTTACTTTTAGTTTAAAATGTGGGCTATTGTCACTAATTTTAAGATTTAGGTTAACACTTTATGAATGTAAAGTGACAGCGTCTTCATTCTCTTTATTTAAATGTTAGCCATTTATTTATTATGACTGCCCATTGACCTGTAAACAGTGCCCTACTATGCTCCTTGAAGTAGGCTATCTCTCTTGTTAGCCACAACTGACCCAATTTGACCAGACAATTTATCCAAAACGCACGTCTTTCTTTTCAACATACACAGCAACATAATATGCTCACATTATAGTGTAGTAGCAGTAGGGGCCACATCCTGTACTAGATTGTGGACATCAAATCCTCCTACTTCCTCTTGCAAAATTGTGATTAATTTCCTTGCACTTCCTAAAGCTGCCCCACTCCCCTGTGCCTTTAAGACGGCTTTGGGGCAAAATGTTGTCCAGCCTGGGACAGAGGAGGGGGATGGGGGGACACAAACAATAGTATCTGTACTTCTTTCTTGGATTGACCACAGGGTAAACTAGAGTGAAATACAGTGACAAAAAATCCACAATATTTATTTTAAGTGCTTTTACTTTATGGTAAAATGTAATTCGTTTATTTTACAAAATCCACTGTATCAATAACCATCACAAACCAGGAAAAACAAGATAAAATAATGCTTAGATTAAATTATAAAATGAATCATTAGAATTGTGTCAAAAGGTAAGCGATTATTGATAAGGCTATTGACTAACAATTGAATGTGAAATGATCACATGAAATTACTTAAGATTATTTTCCCTACCATAATTTGACAGTGCTACAAATTGCTATACATTGAGTAATGTCTTACTTATTATTCATCCATGGTACTTACCTAAACTGCTGTGGCTTGAGTCACTTACACAATGTTGGAATGTATAATAACTGGGACCAGGAAATATCTTCAGCTGTAGCTTATTCACTTGTTCTTGAAGATGAACCACCTACAAAGTGTGTGCAAATCCCAATGGATGATTAGCCTTGCAACTTTCTCTTTCGGTACACTGCTGCTGAGTCAGACCGTTTAAGTAAAGGAAAATAAAATTGGCCATGTTTTTGTTCGGGAGTCAAAGCAACCAATCCCAAATTCCTGTCATATTATTCCACACTTACAGTAAGGATAGTCAGCTGACTGGAGCAAAAGTTCCACACGCTGCAAAAAGAAATGCACTATTTTAGTCCTCTCTTCACACTTTATCTTTTCAGACAGAGTTGTTGTTGTAAGATATAGAAACTGTCATGTGAATTGCCTGAAGCTGTTTTTAATATTGTATAAAAATCCAAAGTTTCTGTACAGTCTCTTATTAGCCAAAGCACTTACACATTTTAATGTGTGCAACTAAATGTATATACTGTTGCACACATTTTATTTTATGAATACAATAATATACTGCTTTATTAAATTTGAATGCAATATTGCAGTGAATAGGTGCCACTAAGCAAATAAATCTACTGCACAGTTTAATGCCATAATAAAATCTCTCTCTCTCTCTATCTATCTATCTATATCTACATATCTATATCTATATCTATATATCTATATCTATCTATCTATCTATATATATATATATATATATATATATATATATATATATATATATATATATATATATATATATATATATATATATATATATAAAATACACACACACACATACACATATATATGTGTGTATATATGTGTGTGTGTGTGTATATCTCTATATCTATATATCTATATATATATATCTATATCTATATCTATATATATATATATATATATATATATATATATATATATATATATATATATAAATTTTAAGGATATTGCTGATTTCCCAAGCACATTCCGAAGGGTAGTTCCTGTTCTCTGTTTAACCGTTGAGACTTGTTTGTCCATTTTAGCCTGTGTGTCTTGTTTTACCTGCTTTTCTGACCATAGAACTTCTCTCTATTCATTTGGTAGAGCTGTATTTTGACATTATATTTTATACTAACTAAAACTTTATGCATTTTCTAAAATATTATTTTTCAATCTCAATCTCTTACTGTTTATCATTTATCATTTTTTGCAGCACATTTAGTGTCTTACAGCATAGTGGGATTAATTTAACTAATAATGTATACAGCTTTAATTTTGTTTACAAAAAGATTGAGCAGAATAAAGCTTAACTCTTCAAAACAGAAGTTTCTCTTTCATCTATCTTCACAGTGCAACATTCAAATAGATGCCACCAGTGAGGCAAATGAGGTGGTTGCTTAGGGAACCTGCCCAGCTCAAGCAAGAATCACTCTGAAGACAGGACTGCAAGAGTCTATTTATGATTTCTGTTTTTCTCATAGTGCTTATGTTACAGGCTGCCATGGCAACAAGGAAAAGGCTATAAATAAGTGTGAAAATGCAAAGCATATGATTTTCACAGATTTTTGAGGTTGATTGCATCCTCAACTGAATAGAAAGTACAAAAAGATTAAAGTCAATTACTGAAGTGCTGGTGGTGTTCAGTAATATCTACATTAGACCATTGTGGAATTTCTTACTCATAAGCATAGTTTCTCAAAATGTTATCGTGAGATGAAGAATTGTATTTGATTGATTGTTTGTCTTATAAAATAAAATACAATCTTACTGAAAGTGTGTTTGGCTCTTTCAGCAGAGGGCAGCCAATCGTCCAAAGCCCAAGATGGCAGCAGTGGCAGCGTCAGCAACACCGGGCGTTAAACTGCCGTCGAGTCGGAGCACGTCTGGAGCCCGCCGCCGCAGGACGAGGTGCAGGCGATGTGAGGCGTGCCTCCGGACAGAATGCGGAGAGTGCCACTTCTGTAAAGACATGAAGAAGTTTGGAGGCCCTGGACGCATGAAGCAGTCCTGTATTATGAGGCAGTGCATTGCTGTAAGTCTCCACACTGATAAAAATGGTGATGGTATTATATCATATCTGTTTGTTCATTGGAAACACAGGTATTCAGACACAAAAAACAATTATTTTATATGATCTATGAATCAATTTAAATAACTGCCAGATGAAGTGATGACATGCAGACTTTTTACAGTTAGTACATGATACATCTAACAAAGTTTTTTTTTTGTTATTTATCAATAATATTGTTGATAATGAAACAATCCACATTTCATGTACCAGATAAATATGTTTTTTGGTGCACAGTTATATTCCATACATTTCTAAATTGTATCTGTGTCTGTTTTTAGCCTGTCCTACCTCACACTGCCGTCTGTGTCATGTGTAAAGAGGCTGGGAAGGAAGATACTGTCGAGGACGAGGACGACAAATTTAACTTCATGCTCATGGAATGTTCAATCTGCAATGAAATTGTCCATCCGAACTGCCTCAAGGTACAGCAGGCATCAAGTCAGTGTTAAGTCATCCACGGCATTGCTCATCTATACTTGGGACATCTGCCAGGAATCCTAAGTTTATTGACAATAAAGATGACTAAATCTTTGAGCTGGAGAGGTGGTAAAGGATTGTGGGAATGATGTTGACATGCTGTTTGTGTAACTCTCAACACACTCATCATACTGTCACACTCTATGACTCATGCAAGCACTTTGACTCCTGCCAAATCATTATGTTATTGCAGGGATTTTTTCAGTTGGAGCTCATTAAAACAAATTTGCCACTTGTGTTTTGAATTGTGTATTCTCCTAAAACAGGTTTTTAGATATGTCAAATTGTGTCTTTGGGTGCGTTCACGCTTGTCATGGCTTAGTCCTGCTTCAAGTCCTGATGCTGACTTGATTTGGTCTGGTTTTAGTCCTAGTCCAGTACAGGTTTTGTTCCAGGTTAAATCCTAGTTTAGTCCCAGTGCTGATATGGTGGTTCAAGTGGCTTTTTGACATGAAAAAGTTGTTCTGGCACCAATATAATGGAAGTTCCTTAAGCAGTCAACAAGCATTCTTTGACAACTTGCTCAAAACACAACAATACACATGCTTATCACATTAGTCACTTTCACTTCTGTTGTGTCCGAGAGCTGATTAATGTTATGCCTTTTTTTTTTTTTTTTTTTGGACAGGTTAGCGATGCCACTGGTGTTGTAAATGATGAACTGCCAAACTGCTGGGAATGTCCTAAATGCAACCATGCAGGCAAGAGCGGGAAAGTGAGTACAAGGAAAAATTAGGTTGAAAGATTATTTTGAATCATTTTAAATGTTTTATTGTGTATATTATTGTGTGTAAATATTAATCATTTACAGTATTATGTTCAACACATCTGTACTCATAAGCAAAAGGTATAAAGTCTTTTTGTTGTTTTTGTCCCTTTTGGCATTGAAGCAAAAACGAGGTCCAGGGTTTAAGTATGCATCCAACCTGCCTGGCTCTTTACTGAGGGAGCAGAAACCTGGGAGGGAGGAGGCTGACTGCTCATCAGGCAAAAGAAGACCAGAGCGGGACGAAACCCCGAGGTATGAGCCCGTGCAGAGACAGCCGCCACTGCTCACGCCCAGCAGCCTCGGCAGACCCCGCCCTGAGGACAAACTGAGGAAGAAACGCAGACTGTTTGAGGATGATGAGGATGACATGAGTGTAAGAAAACGGGTGAGTTATAGAATATTTTTCTGCATTTTTCAAAAACTGTGTGCGTGGGTGTATGTATGTATGTGTATATATATATGTATATATATATGTATATATGTATGTGTATAGTATATATATGTATATATATATATATATGTATGTATATATATGTGTGTGTGTATATATATATATATAAATGTATATGTATATATATATATAAATGTATATGTATATATGTATGTGTATATATATATGTGTATATATATATATGTATGTGTATATATATGTATATATGTATGTGTATATATATGTATATATGTATGTGTATATATATGTATATATGTATGTGTATATATATGTGTGTATATATGTATGTGTATATATATGTGTGTATATGTATGTGTATATATATGTATATATATGTATATATATGTATATGTGTATATGTATATATGTATATGTATATATATATATATATATATATATATACATATGTGTATATGTATATATGTATATGTATATGTATATATATATATATATATATATATATATATATATATATATATATATATATATATATATATATATATATATATATATATATATATAAATGCTCGTGTCAATTAGCTTTGCTAATTCAGCATGCTGCTTTTATTAGAAGTTATAGTTGCACAGTTTTAGCTATTTTAGCTGTAATGGTAAATTAAAAGAAGCCCTTGAACGTCTGTCTTAGCACCCCATTAGCACTTATTTGCTTTTTTGACCTGTATGTAGACCAGAACATAAGCAGACTGACTTCTATCAAAAGAAACGAAACAACCATTGGAAAAAAGCATACACACGGGGCTGTGCAACATAGTGATGCTGTGAAATCATGGTTACTTTTTCAGATAAAGGCTGAGGAGGAAGATGATGATGAAGAGGATGGCAATGGAAGGGAGCATCACTATCGCAGTTATGAAAGGAGAAGTCGTTTAAGAGAATCTGAAGAGGAAGCGGATGACAAGGACTCAAGGAGTGATCTTTCCTTTCCTTTCCTTAAAACTCCTGTTGCTGACAGCGACCAATCACTCTGCAGCTCCCCACAGGCTGGACCCAGCAGCGAAGGGGGAAGTGAGACACAGGAAAGAGGGCCACGGCCAAAAGCTAGACGCAAGAAGCGATTACCCAATAGAGAGCTGAGCCGGGAGCTGAGTAAGGCCCTAAACCATGAGATACAAAAATCTGAGGACTGCTTAGCAAATGAAAACAGACAGCCTCTCAAATCCGAGCCAGAAAGTGAGAACGAAGAACCCAAAAAGTTATTCAGAAATGGCATCGAAATAGGTGAACAGAGGGCTCACCTAAAGGCTAAAGAGATGAATGGGACAGGCTGGGAGCTGCGCCACTTCTACCCCAATCAGATCACCCCCCTGGGCTTTAACAGGAGCACTCCAACCACTAGGCCAGTCCCACCCCGCTCCCCACCCAAGTGTGTCCAGATGGAGAGGCATGTCATTCGGCCTCCTCCTATAAGCCCCCCTCCTGACAGACTGCCTCTAAAAGATGGGAAAACTCATGTAATACAAAGGGAGGTCTGGATGAAGATTTTCGGCTATCTGTCCCACCAGGAGCTCTGCGTGTGCATGAGAGTGTGCAAAACCTGGAATCGATGGTAAGGACAATGACACTTTACCATTTGAGCAAAATGTCAAAGTACTTTTAACAATTATGATCTGAAATAAATCCTTTTTTTTTTTTTTTGACTGCCAGGTGCTGTGATAAAAGTCTTTGGAAAAAGATTGATCTAAATCGTCGTACTTCCATCACTCCTATTATGTTAAGTGGCATTATTCGCCGACAGCCACAGTCTTTGGACCTCAGCTGGACCAATATTTCCAAGAAACAACTGTGCTGGTTGATCAACAGGTTACCAGGTAAATAATACTATAATACTAAATTTACTATCCAGTGTTATTTTTCAAAATAATTCAAAATTATTTTTGAAATTGTGTTTCAGGTCTGCGAGTGCTCAAGTTGTCTGGATGTTCTTGGGCTGCTGTGTCTGCTCTCTGTACTGCCACTTGTCCTCTCCTGCGCTCTCTAGACATCCAATGGGTGGAAGGGCTCAAAGACGCACAGATGAGGGATCTGCTCTCACCCCCTACAGACAACAGACCAGGTATTGCTGTCTAATATAGTTATTACAGTTAGTTTATTTCTAACAACTGATTTATTATGGAATGCATTATTAAAGGGCTAATTTTGTCAATATGCACATTTTCACTCTCTCTCTGAGTCACCCTCTGATATATTACTCACAGGTCAGTTAGATAACCGCTGCAAACTTCGAAATGTGGAGGACCTGCGACTAGCGGGACTGGACATTACAGACACGTCTCTGCGCCTGATTAGTCGACAGATGCCATTTTTGTCCAGGCTGGACCTGAGCTATTGCAACCACATCAATGACCAGTCAGTCAACCTGCTCACAGCAGCTGGGACCACCACACGGGACTCCCTCACAGAAATCAACCTGTCAGGTGAGGAATGAGCATAAACTGAATTCAGTCTTTTCAAGAATTTCTTGGGGTCTTCTCATTGTAGCGCTCTACATTGTTAATTTTATTTCATATTGTCCACCCTCTGATAAAAGGGAACTGTGACACATTAAGGAAAAGCTGTAACTCACTTATTTTCAGTCAAATCAATCATTCTGGGGTGAATTTAGATACAATTATACCCCAAACCCATAATAACCTTAAAATATATGTATATTTACCTTAATTACAAGTCCCTAAGTCTCATTTTTAGTGAGATATGCTTCAGCCTTTTTTTTGGGAATTGTCAAGACCCAAAAATATTCTGTCTACTGTCTAAAAAAATACAGGTGGGATTTGAAATCTGATTTTGCTTGTTTCCACTTATAATGAGAGCAGCTCAATCAGGAGAGGGAAAATTACAGAGCCTTATCTTCACAAAGTTCTCAACCATTGGTCTGTTCTCCAAAGGGTTCAGACAGATTCATCTTTAATTGGGCCTATTTTAGTCAGGCATTTTAGGGGGAAAAAAGGTCAGATTTCTTAGGGATTAACTTGTTAATGTGCATAGATATGGCTCATTTTTACCTTGCATTTATTTCTAGGTTATTAAGTACTTGTATATAAAATGAAATTACATCACATTATGATCTAAATAGCAAAATTTGTTTTAACATTTGATTTATTTATTAAAAATATTTTTTTCTCTTTTCAGTATGTAATCGAGTTACAGACCACTCCTTAACCTTCTTCAAGCGCTGTGGCAGCATCTGTCAGATCGACCTCCGGTTCTGTAAGCAGGTGACAAAGACTGCATGTGAGCGGTTTATAGCAGAGATGTCCGTGAGCGTCCCCTTCAGGCTGACAGAGGAAAAACTCCTTCAGAAGACGAGCTAGTCTTTGGCATAAACTGCAACAAATAAATGTTTCCATGCACTTAATGAAGAGCTTTCCTCTTTAACAGACTGTGATATAATAATAATGTGATCTAAACTCACTAATTACCTTGTAAATAGACCGTAAAGGTATGCATGTTTGAAAACTTGGTGTCATTTTATAAATATGTGCTTTACCTGTTTTTTTTTTTTATATATATATTTGAAACAGTATTTTTTATACAGGCAACATTTCATGTGTTTACGTAGTTTTCTTCCACTCAGGAGCTATATTTCATTATGACGTACAAAGCATGTGAGAATTTTTTTTGCCTCAACACTACACTGTCAGCTGTGTGCCATAACTTGTGTTCTAACATAGGTGTAACCTTTGTAACAAAAAAAATAAATGTACAGTGGTGCATCTAAATTATCAAATAGTATATACATAAGAATGTACGTTGGTCCTCATTATGCCATGTTACACTAAACTCTCTATTGGACATTAATTTATTGTTTTTTTATAATATAAAATGGTTTATATTTATTTTGTAAGTCGATATAGTTGTCTGAGTTTGGGCATGTTTTTAAATGTTTAATCAGGTTAATTTGACCTGATGGCAGTATCCATGACTGTCTCAATTGATTTTCATGAGGAGTCTGTTTCTTGGAGGGGACAAAGGACAGTATCCAATAGTTTTTTTTTGTAGTTGGGGAAATGCTGTTTCACCACAATCACCTCAGGTCAATGTAATGTTTATATTCAAGACTAAGTGCTAAAATGCATTAAAAGATTTTCATTTGTACTATATCTTAAGTGTAGGGTTTCATTTGTTTATAGATTGTATTGCACTTTCCTATCTAAGTTTTGATATTGTTTATTACAAATTATGTTTTTACCACATCATTCATTATCCTCACTTATTTTGTGTGATGTATACCACGTTTAAAAGACCTGTCTAAGCTTGTATAGCAACGATACTTTTTTAACATAACCATAGATAGTGGATTTCAAAAAATTTACATCTTTAGAATACCTACCTTTGAACCCACATACAGCTGTAATGCAACAGTACAAGCTATGGTGTAGTCAAATGCAAAACTTATTTTAATTAAAATCTTTAATTACCAAAAAATAAGGTTCAACATTCCAAAATACAAAGACCAAACCTAGCACAAATTTTACACTCTCAGAAACAGAAAAGTGCAGTTAACTGTTCATAATTGATGTGAACTGTGGTAGCAGCATCATCTGGCTCAATGTGGTTTACAGCAGTGCTAAATATTTTAAAATTAAAAACCCTGACCAGAATACAGTGTGGCAAACCTAGCCAAATGCACAGGCTACTGTCATGCTCTGGATAAAGCCAGTTACATAGGTACAAAGAATTCTGTAAAATATAAATAATCTCAAAATACACTTCAAATCAAATGGAAAAAATATAGTTATATACATCTCATAAGGATCAATATATGCAAATGTACATTAGCAAGTCAATTATTCTATACATACTATACCTCATATGTCAGTAAATGTTTTTTCCCCAATATATCACTTCTATTTTAGTGTAATGAACTTCAAAGCAAAATGCACTGTTCCACTCCAAATAATATTCAAAGATGTATACCCAAAATTCATTTTGGAAATAGAGGGAAGATGGCATGAGTTTGTTAGCACCTAGTTTGTCTGTTAGGAGCCACTTAAGGGCAAAGTTAGGACAAAGGTGACTGTAAAGTAAGATATTGTTATGATCACCTTATTTCTTTACAATGTAATGACCAGCATGATTGAGTGTGGTTTAATACATAATGTGCTTACAATGGATTACAAAAATCAAGGTTGTATGCCGCTTACGACATGAGCTGCAGTAAAAGTGATTAATCCGTAGAGAAAAAGGCTTTTCTTTAATGTGCTATTGATACAAGCGACCCACAGTCAATGGGAGGAATGAATGAGATGCTTGACGGAGTTTTTGGCACCTAGTTTTCCTGCCAAGTAACTAATGGTGGGATTCCTTGGTATTTTTGTCACTTGCAGCAACTGAGAATTTTTATTTACAAGTTTACCAAGCCATTTTCTCAGTTCAGTTCAGAGATAAATTTGATGAATTTTGTTCACAAGCACATGGCTACACATTCTTTGTATTTAGAAATGATAAATCAAAACACTAACACAGATAAACTAATGATTCAAATGGGAAAATCCCCAAAAAGCAGCAATAATCTGCATCTAGGGTTTGTGCCAGTCTGTGGTGCTGCAGTGGTTAAGATTTAAAAACATGCACTGCCCTCACAACGTACTGCCTACAGATGGGACACTCGTTCATCCTTTTTCCACACTTTGTGCAGGTGACCATGTGACCACACTCCAGGAGAACGCAGTCGATCACAGCATCCATGCAGATTCGGCAGAGATTATCATCATAGATGGTTAATGGTCCCTTTTCACCGTCTAAAACACAGAAAATAAATGCTTGTCAAAGGGTACAGTGAACACAAATGAAACATTACAAATGCTAATACAAAACAATAGTGATGTGCCATGCATTGAAGGGGCAGACACATCAGGGGCTGAGGAAAAATACTTTTAAGTGTGGCTCATCTGATGAGGTCGTGCACAAAACACTTGGAAAATGTCACTATGTTTCCATGACAACCACAGTCTCTTGGTGGCACAGAGACCATAGAAACAATTAACGTCATACTTTTTCTTTGATATGTACTAGATATTCTGCCTTACACAGTTTGTATAGCTAGCAATGAAGGGTGCAAAATGAAGACTATTACTGAAAGAGCAAGTGAAGATTACAATCACAAGTCAGTCATAACCTTACCTCCATTAGTACCGTTGCAGATAGGAGGGGGTAAGGCCATTACTTTAGAATGAAGTAAAGAAAATAAAGAAATACAGAGAGAATGTGATTTCAGGGAATACATTTCATCCTTAAATCATGCCCTTATCATTACTTAAAATATTTTTAAACATTACAAAGCAGTACTTTATAACAGGATGTGGTGCATGATACAAGGAAACCAGGTTAAAAAGACAACAGTTACCTGTGGTTACACTACTGCTCACATTTTCCACTGCAAAGATAAACAGACACAAATATAAACAATTGCCAGTACATGTGATTTACAAGTGTAAGCAGTCATGCATATTAGGGCTTCAGAAATTGTATGCAAAAATGACCTTTAAAAGCTCAACCATTATCCTAATTATCTTATGCAGTTGTACTTAGATGTTACAGTAATCCTGCATGTTTATTATGCTTGAGCGCTTAGAAAATTTCAGTTTTCACCTAACCCTCTACCCTGCAGTTTGTATTAATTTAATTAAATTTTTTTGTTTTACATCTTTTTATTAACGTCTTCTTGCTATGGATCTAATCACCATTATAATATCTGTCTCAAAATGTGTTTATTTTGCCCAAACACAATCTGAAAGTGTTATGATTATCCTGAGTAAACTTACATGATTTCCTGTTTTCCTCAGTTTCTCGATACAGTCGCCTCACCCGCTCCACCAACTCCCACTTCTCACAGCACCCTGAATAGTTTACAAAGTTCCTGGCCAAGATTTCTTTGAGCTGCCGGACAGAGAGGTCTTCAATGTCACCCAGGCTGGAGATGTCTGATAAAGAGGCTCGGGCCCGGCGCCGTGTTTGAGGACTTGTCTGTAAAATCAAACATGGACTTCACTACTCTACACCTGAGCTGACTATATATCAAGGGCCTATAGCATACAGTTTAATGACATTTGTCTAGTGTAACATCAAACAATGATCACCTCAGGTGTGTGTTCCAAGTGAAGGAGAGATGTCGATGCTGCATCAGCTTCCTGCACCACACAACACAAACATTAGTCTGTGCGACTTTGTACAGACTACAGGTGTGTCTAGCTGTTAACTAAGGATTAGGATTAGGACAAAACTGAGACAGACAGTTATATCTTGTGAATGACAACACCAAGTGCACTTATGTATGCATGTCAGTACTACTGAATTCAATTTTATTTTATTTTTTTACTTTTAACGTTCCTTGTTGCTTTTTTAAACTAAAGCAGATTGAACTGTGAAAACATCCTTACTGGGGTGGTATCAGAGCTATCGCTTCTGCTGAGTGGCCCCTCTTGAGACGCAGCAAAGGTGGACAATTCAGAGGCAGACTGCGTGGTGGAGGGCGTGGGAGAGTACAGAGAGCGCGAGTGAAGGCTGTTGGTGTCTGGATCGTCCTCTTCCTCAATGCCTTGGTGACACAGCACCAGTTCAACCAGGTCCTCCTTTTCTCTGCATGTGTCTGTGGGAATGTTACGGAGCTGAAGGTACTGACGCAGGTCTTTGACACGCAGGCGCATCAGCCTTGGCCGCTGGAAACACGTCGCCTTCAGTAAATGACATGTAGCACAGATACGCAGATTCTCCTGCAGTATCGTACACAAGGAGCAGAATCCTTTCTTGCAGTCACAGCAAATATACTGCAGATTCAGAGAAAATATAACACATATTTTCAGCACACAACATAAATAATAAGTATAACATCAATGCCAGAAGAACAATCTCAGATAAAACAGAATTAATCTTATAAATATGAGTACCAGACATGAAGTCAACATTTTTGTTTTTTTCACATCTATACAATTTTGACAGTTTTTGCTCAAAAATATTATATCCAAGCCGCACAAAATTAAAATCATAACCACAATAAGTCATTAAACATACCTTCCTCCTGAAGACAGAAAAGGCTTGGCCACAAGCCTTGCACACGAGGTTGGGGCTCCCTGAGCTGGCAGGCGGATATGTAGAGTATCCTGCACTAGGGGCAAATCGGAAAGGTCCAGCACCTGCCCCAAAGCCTGGCTGCTGGCCCCGGACGGCCCCTGTTCCCATGACTTCATTCAGCAAACCACAGCATGAAGCCCACACAGAGGAGGCATTTGCCTAGTATGAACAACTATTATTATTATTCATATATTGCTATTGCAATCTCAAACCCAACAACAGAATAAAACATAGCCTATATACAGATCATAAAAACATCGACATTATATTAAAAACAATCCTATGTATCAATCATTTAAACATAAAACAATGTTGTTGTTGTTGTTTTTTAATGAGTGAGTCTGTTTTGTAACAGCGCTGATGTTAGTGAACAGGCCTAGTACTGCTGCTGCAACTCTCGAGGCATTGATGACAGCTGTCAACGCTGCTTTCTGTAGTTTAGCTTCATGATTGATGATATGCTCACTCTTAAATTGAGCTAACACAGTGTTAAAGATGCAGCGAAATAACCACTTGTCTTAAATTAGCTCATGTTGCTTGTTAGCTGCCTTGAGTAGAGCAACAAATTCTATCATGATAAAGGATGGTAAAGCTAAAGCTGCCCGTACCTTCATTGCACCACCGAAGTGTCTTCTGTGTGAGAACAGTTTGATAATTTAAGCATTGCAATCTTTACAACCTGCTATCCAGCTTTACAGCGAGAAAACGTCCAAAATCACACAGGATGGCGAAGAAAAGCGAAGAATATTTCACTCGCGGAACCACAGAAGCAGCCCCATGAGCAACCCGAGCTGAGAGCAGTCAGTTCTTCTGCTAGTGACGCTAAGCGCCACAGACGTCGGGTCGGTGTTTTAGTGCCATCTAGTGGTTCAGTTTAGCTAAGGATAGATGGAATGAGTACTTGAATACTTTTTGTAATATAATTGAAACATGGATTACGTAACTTAAAGTGGCAATTTCATTATACTGTTTAGTTTTTTAGTATTAGTATTTGTAGTGTAGTGTATTATAGTGTAGTGTAGTAGTGTACTGTTATGTTTAATGTTAATCATCCATTTTGGCTGGTTTAGAAAAAAGGAACTTAACTTCCGGTTTCGTGTTATTTTTGTTGGCAGCACGGCGCGCCAAGTATAAACTTCAACTGTATCGAAAACGAGCTGAATTTAGTGGCTTTTCTAAAGTAAAGCGCTATTATGGAAACGAATAGCGCTGTTTCGTCGATGATAATGTATGAAGATGAGTCAGTGGAGATTTGCTTTGAAAACGGAGCTCGGGTACAACTGTCGCCCTGTGGATCGGAGTTTGTGCTAGAGAAAGCCCCTATACCCACGGGTCACTCTCTTCTGCCCAGCGAGAGGATCCGCCAGAGGACTCGCTTCACCATCAGCGCATATAAGGTAACTACTAGACACGTGAAATTGGTGGAATAATATACATAGTTTGTTGTTACCATTGGTTACTTCCAGGTCACTATACATAGCTGAATTCTGTTCATTTTTTAGGATATTGTGGCAACTGCATTGGCATTTCGAAATAAGTATTCCAGCCAACCATATCTTCCTGAAGAACTTATACCTGAAGACCAGAAAAAGGTATTTTATAATAGGCCTTCATGAACTCTTTAAAATGTATTTTAAAGGTGCACTGTGTAACATTTTTTGTGGCTGGTCTAACACTTGCTTGTCACCATGATTGCATGTTATTTCTTTACTTGGTGTGTTCCACAATAGTAAACATATCTACCAATATGCCATGCATTCATATTTTGACCTGGTGGCTTCACTTCTTTTCTCCCTGGAGCTAAATAAGTTTAAAGCCTTACTGTCAACAAATTAACACTGTCATCCAGGAGACAAACAGGTGGCTCACCCTCCCCCAGAAAGTGGAGACAGAAATGAGCTTATAAACAAAAATGCCTTTTTATTTTGAAGTCTTCTTACAGCCATAGCTGTGAAGTACAGTGGCCATTCACCTGTGATGCTGCAGTTGGATCTGGAGGTGAAACCATCATCAGGTCTGGGGACGGGAGGGCTGTGTTGACTCTCTCTCCTTTGGGCAAAGACTTCACTGTTGAATTTACATGTACTGTCAGTCAGAATAATCAACAGCTCAGTGCACAGTCTTTGTCAAGTTGTCCTACAAAAGGAAAGACTAAAAATGAAACTGTAAGATCAAGATCCAGACCTCCTTTATCAGTCAGCAAAGACAACTCAAAGGTATGTGTTTCCTGGTTCTTTACATCTTCAACTAAGGATGCATGTTGAACACCTTTAATTGATTAGCCGGTGGTAGCTTTGGCAAATGATCAATTAAATGTTAACTTAACATCATTGTACATTTTAAATTAAAAGACTTTAAAGTTGCCCTTAAGTCTGTAAGTTCTCAGATTGAACCTCATCTTTTCTATTTTATATGTATGCTGTTAATGTAAAAAGAAAAAAAATTGAATTATGTTATTAGGTTCGTTTTACAGACCAAGAGTTCGTTTTTCAAATATTGGAAAACCAAATGAATCTCATTGGATAATTGTTAGAATTGTTAATTGCAATTTAAAGATTAACCCATTCATTATGAGCAATGTCCTTTCAGCCTGAGAAAATGTTTCAATCCGTCACAGTGGTACAACATCACTCGTGTAGTTGTCCCCCATCCATATGGTCTCATCCCCTCTCCTTGGCAAAGCAACACAGGAAAGCTCGTAATGATAGTTCTACAAGAGCAGACGCCATTTCTAGCCATTTAGGTGAAGCCAAGATTCAACTTCCTCAAGCTCTTTCTCTTAGCTGCTCCATGCCCCACTGGCACAGGTTCACAACAGTTTCACTTGTATCATCAACATATCAGCAATTCTGTGTTCAATGGCTAATTTTTCTGAGTTTGCTGTTGTTTTTGTCAGATGGAAGCCAAGCATTTTGGCTAAAGAACAAACTGGTGAGACACAACTGGTCCATGCAGAACTTGTAAAAGTGATGTGGTGCCAAGGTGTTACCTACAGGTATCTAAATACTTATTTTGAGAATCTGATTAGTTTTGCATTTGTAATGTTTAAAATCTTGCCTGAAGGATTATAGAGGGAACCGTACCTGTTATAGAAGTGTCTCCAGGAGATGGTTCAGTCATCTGCTCCAATGGCATTCTGAACAGCCATTTTACACATTACAAACATGAGCTTCTGTCAGAAGGGGTAGAATTTTATAAGCTATTTACATATCCAAAATGACACAAATATTAAGGAAAGCTTTTTATTTCCTCTTAGAACAAAGAAGTAACTTATCACCTAAATTGCCTTCCACCCGATATACCTGGACAACCCTACTCAATATGCTTTATTGTCAATTGTGCAAGCAGGTCTGTTAATTTACATTTACATCTGTATGAACAGCCATATTTATTCCCTTTTAAATTAAAGTGATCCATAAATTTATGTTTTGTAGAATTCTCACTTGTTATATTCAGGCCAAGCAGTCTCTGAAGTCTTCTGCACCTAGCTGTTTACACAAGGTCTGTTTATATTTATAGTTATAGTTATAGTTATATTTACTTATTTGATATTATTTTGTTGCAGAATAAACTGACTGGTCTTGATAGCACCAAATCTGCTAAAACTTTTACCTCATCTATGGCTGATGAGGAAAATGTGAATATACACAGACGGTACGCAGTTTTGTTGTGAAATAGTTAACAGTATTGCCAACTGTACTGAATTTATTTTTAAACATTAGGTCAGATATTGTGGAAGAGGAGCTACAGAGGATAAAACGATTTAATTGTATCCTTGAATGTGATATATCTAAATGGCTAATTATTACCTTTTACATTTCATTATGCCTATATTTTTATCATAATATTAAAACCCCATTTCCTTAATGACCATGTACAGTTATAATGGATAAGAGTACTATTTTCAGAGCTCACAAAAGCTGTAAACAGGATGGTAAATATGCAACTGAGGTCATTTCAGAACCACTGAATCCAAAAAGCATCGCCGAAGCCCTGCAAAGGACATCTAAAGCCATAGCAGACATTGATGCTGCTATAACTTCAGCTTCACGTATATAGACTGCCCTGCTCTAAACCCTGAACTATTTTTCCCACAAATTATAATTTATGCTATACATACAAACATGGACTATTTTCCAGTTGTGCAATTGCTACAATGCTTAAATGTATTTATAACAACCAAAATTCTCTTAGCAAAAAATACTTTATGTAGAAACATTTTGAAAGGGACTTCAGTTGTGATGTATGTATTACTTGAAAAATGTTTTCCTACATATGAGAAGGTGGTTTATTAAAAGATAATATACCTTATTTTTTGTTATCCCTGAAGAGTTATTGGTCTCAGATCAGAGAGGAATTGGCTATTTGTGCCTTCTTTAAAATATTACCAAATGATTTCTTGCTGTAACGTTAAACCATTTTCTAATTTGCTGAAAGAGTTGGTAAGTAACTCATCTACAGGTGTTATGATTATCTTGTTTATATCTTAGATTTATTTTACTGTTTAAAGATTGAAATAAATAAAATCAAATGCACAAATACTGAAACAATACATAACATGGGAAGAAGGAAATTTAAGGTAAGGTATTCAATGGGTATTCATAATTGCTAATTTTAAAACTGTCCAGTTCTGAAGATGGCTTGCAGCTAGCAGCCGAAACATATCAACAAGGTAAATACACTTTACTGCATTGTCTTTAAAAAGAACCCAAGAAGTTAATAGGAGCCAGTGTGTCAAAGCAGATGCTTCTTTAGTTAATGTTGGCAGTTTAGACATTTCTCCAGATTGTCAAGTAAAATATCTTTCTTTAAATCCTGCAATTTGCAACATCTATCTATTTTATGACTTTATAATTTTCTATTGTGTTTTCCCTATTTGGAAAGGACTGAAAGAAGCAAAGCCTAAAAGAATGATCACACATTAAATTGACCAAATCAAGCTATCTGATGTCTTTGGGTCTATGTCTGTAAGCTGCACAGACACTGCACACATGACTATGATGATATAGAGGAGGCAGCTCCTCTTTACTGGTAATTTATAAGTTAGCAATATTTATATTTTATGCCCATTATTGCGTCTGACCTAAAATTAGCTCTTCTTTCATATTTAGGGAATGCATGGGACTTGTGCAGTCCTGTAAGTAATTCAGTACTTTGGCTTCTTGAAATAAGTGGGCCTAATGTTTCTCATGACTTGTATTCACTAGATGATGGGCACCATCTATATGATGACGTGGGTATTCCAAATAGAAGTTAAGCCTTAAAGGAACTGTATGTAACCTGTGCTCTTACTATTTTAAACTACTATCTATCTACTTCTGTCATCATTGAACCTGGGTTGCCAGTGCCTAACCTGCAGAAGACCCACAAAGAGGCTGAATGTGCACTGATTAATGGCTGTAGGTGGGGTTGAGGATTCAGATAGATTAAAGATGGAGTCCTTTTAGGTATTAGCTAGCTAGATGTTTTGTGAATCTGGAAAAAAAGAAGGTTTTGCACTTTACATCAAAACTATGCAGTGTTTGATGCTTGAAATTTAATTTCATTGTCTATATGACAAGCAATCTTGAATCTTTCTGACAACCAAAATGAGAATCTCAAGAAAGGCTGCTTTGTGATTTGATAAGTATTTTGAGAACCAAAACAAATGGGACATCATCTCCAATATTTTTTGTAATTTTTATATAATATATCAGCATTAAAATTGTTATTAATAAGAGCTATATTTGAATTCAATATGTCCTGATATATGGGAACCCAAATGAGTCAGGTTCTTTAGCTCAAGCTGCCCATAATAGAGAGCTCACGTCTGCAACAACAGTTTTAGTGTTGACTTGGCATGATAGTATGATACATAGAATTAACTTTCATCCTACATTTTACCATATAGGCTACTATGGGCAATTGTAAGTCCACTGTGTGTGTTGTGTAGATTTACCATCCAGTTACACAAATGAATCATATGAGTATACGAAATCAATCAAAAGTCTTTTGAAGTGCATTTAAGTCAGTTGCAGCTCTCTGTATTTACAGTTGTACGATTGAAACCAAGTGACTCCATTGCAGTCTTCGGTGGATACAGAAGGTTGCTGACCTAGAATGTATTTACACTAACACCTAGTGGTTTAACATTTTTGTGAAATGATCCTCCTGCAAACTGATTTAACAAACACTGCATTTTACCAGAGCAGACAGAAATGGCCAGAGAGATCCTGGTATGTTTACCATTTATCTGTTGAAACAATACATTGTCAAATGTAGTGTGTATTCATGATGGGTTTTTTTTCATGTTTTTGCAACAGCTGAGGAAGATGATGTTTATGACGACGTAGACTCACTTTGTATTAGGTATATCTAAACAGAAAATGTATTTGTGCAGACTATAAATTTAATGGTACACTATGTTACTTTTTGGTTGGGGATCCGTCACTTGCTTGTTTCTATGGCTCTGCCTGGAATGTTCCACAGTATGAGAGTAAACAACTCTACTTACATTTATTCAATTACAGGTGGTTTTATTGCTCAAAAATACCTAGAATAACAGGCATTCTGGCTGTGAGTGGGGTTGCCTCTCCACAGATCTGACCTGTAACTTGGTCTGGTTTGGTCTCCATAAAGATAGAAAGGTTTAATGCCATACTATGAAACATCACAGACAAAGCAATAACATCTCCATGAAGAAAAGCATTTGATGGACCACCAGAAAAGTTACACAATGCACCTTAAAAGTAGCATTGTTTTTTAAAGATATTTTTAGATGTGTTTTTAATCCTCACAAGCATGACATGTCTGATTTTTTTTTTTTTTTTTTTTTTGGGCATCTGTCCATCTCACTTTCAGTGATTTCTGAATTTAAGCTTAAACTTAAATAAACAATATGAATGACGATGATGCAATTTTTAGGCCCGAGCGCCAGAGGCTGGCGAAGGGCCTATTAGTATCGCAAAGCGATGCTCCAAGTGGCCAAAAAATGGAATGGCGCGACGTGACTCGCCCAGAGTGACCAGGGACCCTCGCAATCACGTAGCAATGCGCCAGAGGTTTCCGAAAATGTATAGTTTGTCGGCCAAAAAAAAGCCGAACATTGTTCTCGTATCAGAATAGTATTCTTTCTTTCTTCTTCTTATTATTTTTTTTCCCTAACCAACTCACCCAATTATCACCCACTAAACAATGACGAAAAGTCCTGAAATTTTTCCATCTGGTAAAACTCGCGCTTCCCTACGTTTTGGTTATTTTCATTTTCCAAACATAAATAAAATGGCTCGTCAGCGCCCCCAAACGACTCAAAAATACATTAGGGAATACGAATGACACAAAAAAAAAATTCACGTACAATCATGAAATTTGACACAGAGGTCGATCATGTCAAGACAAGGAAAAAATATTATTACGCCAACACCGTGCACTCCAATAGGGGGCAGCAATATTGGCTTACAGTTGGCTAAGCTTTTACGAACTCCTCCGAGGGCTTTCACCCGAACGAGCTCAAATTTGGTCCACATTATCTCAAGACGTGGAACATCAAAAGTTATCCACATTTTTCACACACGTCTTACGGTCTCTGAGCAGTGAAGCAACAAAAAATGCACACAATTTTGGAGATTTACAAATTGCTCCCATTTGCTCAAACGAACTCCGATTTCAACGAAATTTTAAACAGTTGTTAAACTCTCTGCCCGGAAGCTACTTCATGTGAAAATTATTAATTTGGCGCTTTAGCGCCCCCTATAGATTGAAACTAAATTTAATATAGAAGAAAATCATTTGTTCCCAAATAGTTGTTCAAAAATTTCTGAAATTTTGCACAAAATTCCATTTTGGCATCCTGATCCAAAATTCAATGACACCCATGTCATATTTTTTATGGCGTTGCCATAGCGATGACATAAACTCTCCATTGATAAAATCTACAAATTCTGGCACAAAACTTTGGCCGATTTCACTCAAATTTGAATCGTTGATTGACACCCTGACCCTGAACAGATTTATATAAGAAAATCTCCAATGGGCACAATAGCGCCCCCTAGGGAAATTGCATGGTAGTGCAAACATTTACTTCGTTGTAGACATATAAAATTTGGTACACAGATTCATGACATGGTCTTGATCAAAAAAGTCAATGACGACCCCATGCCATTTCCCATCGTGTTGCCATGGTGACAGGCTAAACATCTGCCCTTGCCAATAGGACACCCAACAAAAACTTTGGCGTAGCCAAACCAAATTAGGTACACAGATGCATCATGGGAATTGGAACAAAAAGTATATTACGCGGTTGCTAGGCAACCAACAGGAAGTCGGCCATATTGGATTGATCGTACGACCTGTCCTTGTATTTGAACGAACTCGTCCGAGGGCGTTTGACCCAGACAGAATCATTCTGTATCATCTAGACAAGTGGGACATTAAAAGTTGTTAAAAGCTTTTTAAAAGGTCACACGGTGTTGCCATGGCAACGGTGCAAATTTTGGGTTCGTTTTTTAGGGCTCACCATCAAACTTTGACACCTGATAATTTGCACAAACTTTGGCCGATTTCACTCAAATTTTAATCCTGAGTTCTCACCTCAACCCTGAACAGACTGATGTAAGTAAAGAGGGTGCAATAGCGCCCCCTAGCAATTTGCACAAACTTTGGCTGATTTCACTCAAATTTTAATCGTGGGTTCACACCCCGACCCTGAACAGATTGATGTAAGAAAATACAAAAATGGGTGCAATAGCGCCCCCTAGAAAATTTGTATGTAAAAATAAGGTTTTATTTGTCACAGATATACAAAATTTGGTATCCACATTTGTGACATGGTCTTGATTAAAAAACTCAATGATGCTCACATCTCGTTTACATTGTGTTGCCATGGCAACAAGCCAAAATTGTATGTCCTTACACAAACGCTGGCGTAGCCAAACCAAATTTGGTATCCAGATGCATTATGGCAATAAGAACAAAAATGTATATTGTGACCACGCCCCTTTACAAACTGGAAGTCCGCCATCTTGGATTATTATTATTTTTTTTTTTTGCCAAATTTTGAAAATTGCAAAGTTAGATTAAGATTTTTAGGGCTAGGGTTGGGGCTATGGTTAGGATTATGATTAGGGTAAGGTTTAAGTTTAGGCTTAAACCTTAAGTTTAGGGTCAATGTGAGGCACGGCGTTTGCGGGGCGTTTGCGGGGCGCGGTGTAGAGGGCCAATCATTGCCGCTTGCGGCTATATTTTTTATTGCTTTTATGCATGCCTTTTTTTTTTTTTTTAGAATTTTCTCTTTGATCCTTTAGTATCTAAGCTATAGGCTTTAACTGCGACTACATGAATGCATATTTTAATAATTATTATGTTCCATACATTTAACTTATAGTACTGTTCAAATACTGATACTAAAGTAATACAAATAATACAATTCAAATATTGGGCAAACTCATCATGAGGTCCATCAAACGTCAAACCATCCGATTCTCGCGATATTCCACGAAGTTTCCGGTGTTGTGTATGTTCCTGGAAACATGGCGGCCAGCTTCCGCGGCCGTCCTATCCGGAGTCTTCGGATGCGAGGTAAGCATGAAAAACTCGGTACATTTATACACCTCGGAGGCCAGTGCTGCAGTAATTGAGTTTTCTGGGCTCATATTGCCTGTAGTGTGCTCTATGCTTATGTCAGCCGCGTGTGTGTTTGACAGGTCGGAATGACAGCGGGGAAGAAAACGTACCGCTGGATCTGACCAGAGGTAAGCTTCATCGCATCTCTGAAAGCGATTATTGTTCAAAATGGATTTTGAGCACGAGTGGAACAACCATTATTTGAAGCTTTACTATGTACTTCTTCGTATCCATGATTAGATGCTGTCATAGTCACTGTGTTAATTGTGATTTTCTGATCCACCTACCAACAGTGGGAAAGGGTACCATAATAACAGGCGGTAGCAGGCTAACTAACTAGCTGAGTTAGCGTTAGCTGCCACAGCTAACCAGCCATGACGCCGCTCTGTTGTTTTGATTGTAGAATGTGTAGGATATTTCTAATTTTACTCTACTATTCGTAATGGTGTAATTACACCTTAGTCACTGAATTGTGTGTGAGTTCCATAGTCATTAACCTCCGTATGGTTTCTTATCGTGACTGATTCTGCATCAGTTTGTTTACATGGGTCAGGGAGTCTCTTTCGTCCCATTTTTTTTTTTACCTTTCTGCCTAATGTAGTTCAAATATGATGAAATCTGGTCTGGTTAGTGGAAAAAAACAGCGTTGGTTCTAATTTGCAATTGTTTTAGCCTAAGTCTGGGTTGTTAAACAAAATTTTGTCTTGCTTGATGGGTCTTCTATAGCATTGCATTCAACTTTAGGTGATTTCACCTGATTTAGCATGATGAATTTTTTTAATTGAATCTTATATAGTATTTTACATTTTAAGAAATGCAAACAATCTAAATTTAAAGTGAACTGCACTTGGTGTTAGATATTGTTAATGGTTTATTATCATTTACAAAACAAATTTCACCTTAGAAACAGTATTTGTCTATTATCATTCTCTACTGCTCACAATTTATCGAGTATTCAAGTTGCTCTTAATGTCTGTGTCGGACTGTGACAGCTTATGGGGCTTCATACAATTGCATACAATTCAGCTGTAGGAAGGATGCCTTTTGGGTTTTCTGCTTACCCTCTCCAATCAGCACCCCTGCTAAGTAGTTTTGCAATTTGTATAGGAAGTGATAGTGAATGGGAACTAAAAACAGACCATGCTTCCTCTTACTTGCTTGCGGTCTAGACCTTGTTTACACTGTACACGTACTATTATTTTGACCAGCTAAACCAACTTCCTTCCCTCATATCAGGCAAGGTTCACTGGGGAGTATTATGGCAATATCTCTAAATGCACATCTTGGCTACATTGTATTTTCTTATTTTGTTTTGCAGAACCATCTGAAAATTTCCGGGAAATTGTCCAAAATGTGGCCAAACCACATGGAGTCAGTAACATGCGTAAACTGGGCCACCTGAACAATTTTATAAAGGTATGTCATTTCAAGTTGCAAAGCATGTTTGATATACTATGCAGTCACATTAACGTAATATATTGGCCCCATAATCACAGGTTATTGTTCAAATATGCAGCTTTTTATTGGCACTAATTCAGCATAGAAGATTGTTTTTGGTCTCTGTGCACTATTAATCCTCCGAAAAATTGCTGAAAAAATGTGCAATATGGCACCTATGACTGTCAAACATGGGGTTCTAATTGCTAAAAATACCTGGTAAATATGCAGTTGGCTCATTAACTATGCTTGCTTTCTCCAACTCAAAAAAATAAATGACAACAATTGTGTTTTGTATTTTGTATACCTTTCACATTCACTCTTGTGGCCATAAACCTGAAGTCTAGACTTGACTAGATGCCATTGTTAGAAGGTTAATGCCCAGACTGCATCATGTTTGAATCTGTGTATACATTGGTCAGTGCTCCATGCTGACTCCTTATAAGGGTTTCAGGACAGTGAGGGTGACCTAATCCCCCCAGAGAGTGTCACATGCCCTGCTACCCCCCCTCCGTTTTGCCTGCTTTGGCTCTGACATCACTGCTGGTTCAAAACAAGCCCTTACTCATACTGCCTTTGCTTAGCCATCCCTCTGGTGGGTTGTGGATAAGAATGAAATTAAATGTTCATTTCTAATGTGAGGTTTCTGTATAATTTCATCAGTTGTGCTATTGAGGAGCAGCATAAAAATATGTATAACAATTAGTGTTTAATTTCACAATTGTTGTACTTACTTTTTGACTAAGTAGACATATATTGTACATGCATATTTAAACATTTACGTCAAAAGTTTCAAGTTAACTTCTCACACTAAGTGCCCAGGCTATTTTAAAATTATGTCAACTCATAAGATTACTGATTCATAGGTAATTTAAGGGAAAACTAGATCTAATATTTTACTTGTTCCATCTGCCCCATCATACATGGTTGTAATCAAGAAATGGTCTTCTTGTTTTGAAGCTGCTATGCAGTGTAGGCCACCAAGAGGAGAAGTTTGGATTTACATATGAAGAAATCATAGTTTGGCAAGTTTTTTTATTTTTAATTTGAATGTAAATGTCCTCTGCATGTGCTACTTAAATACCTAATAATAATAATGGTAATATTATTTCTATGTAGTTTACGTCTTGCTCTGCTAAATGAGGCTAAAGAGGTCAGAGCTGCAGGATTGCGGGCACTACGGTACCTTATTAAAGACACAAACGTCTTGCAAAAGGTCCTTAGACTACAGGTGGATTATTTAATCTCCAGGTGAGATTTCTTTTTTATAATTGCTATCTTTGTGTCTGTTTAATGTTTCTATTTCAGTTTTGTTTTAACAACTGAGGATGTTCTTTTTTTAGATGCATTGACATCCAACAGAGCAATGAAGGAGAAAGGACTCAGGCTTTGAGACTAGTTCGAAAGGTATGTTACTTCCATGTTCCGATGCCCTTATGTTATTTATCCTCGTGCCTGCTAAGTACCAAAAAAAGACCACTGGGTTAGTGGTAGTGTCTGTGTGTAGATAGTTTGTACAAAACTGCAGGCTGCTGGGATATTATAGCTGATTCTGTAGTTTACTGTAAAACCTGAGCACTCTTCAGCACACTTGCCACATAGAAAACAACATGTGCACACTCACTGACCCTGGCTGTAGGTTCAGAGAAATACTCATAATGCAATCAACAAGACCTATTCTTATATGCTATATTTCATCTCTTGTACTCATAGTAGTGCTAAGAAAATGTCTGATAAAACATTTTGTTTTAGAAATTCTGTCTAGACTTGCATAGTTGGTGACTCATTTGTGCCCCCTCTTCATTAAGATCATCACTGTCAACGCAATGCTCTTTCCCACCTCCATTGCAAACTCTCTAATCGCTGTGGGCACTGATGGTCTACAGGAACGTGACCGCATGGTTCGTGCAGCCATTGCAATTGTGTGTGAACTTGGTAAGCATAGGCACATTACTAGTGTATATTAATTTTAAAGACATAAAATAGTTTTTAATAAACTGCCATTACATGCCTTCTGTCTGCAGCTCTAAAAAACCCAGAAGTGGTGGCCAAACGGGCGCGTCTGAGCACCATCTTGAAGAGTGTCATTGATTGTCAGCTAAGTCGCATTAATGAAGCTTTGATCACCACCATCCTTCATCTTCTCAATCACCCGCACACGCGCCAGTTTGTGCGGGTGGATGTAGAGCTCGAGGTATAGTTGTTATATTGTTTAGATTTTATACTTTTTGTTAATTATATAGTTTATTTGATACAATGTCAAATAAATTATCACAGTGTTGTCCAAAGAATTTTGTTAACATTACTTAAAACCCTTTACTGAATATTGTTTTTACTACAGTGGCAAAAATATGTAACATTTATAGGTTTGTATAGTACTTTATATAACTTGAGTCCACATGAGCACACATGTATGTAAAGACCTTATGTGGCCCCAATGTCACAATTTATTAGAAGCTTTAATAATTGTTTTTGTTCTTTTTTCAGCAAATCCTTGCACCTTTCACTGATTTCCACTACCGGCATAATGCTGACACAGCTGAGGGACAGCTCAAGTGAGTGTGTTTATAAAATTAACTATTTGTGTTACTACACCTTGTGCGTGGTGAGCTGTAGCTGTATTTACCTGTGATCCTATGTAACAACACAATGCCATGTGGAAAGTTTAGGATGTGTTAATTTATGTGGTCACTGGATCTGTTTTAAAAGATAAAATGTAATTGATCTCTCTGTAGACTTTAGTTTTGACAAAAAATTAAAATGTACAAAGTGCATCACAGCAGGAATATACAATTAATCATAAAAAGGAGCTTTGAGTCATATGCTAATAGCTATGAGCTATTTTATTGAAGTGTTTTAGTAATCATGCATCTTAATGTACGTGTGTGTTTTAATTTCTGCAGGGAGGATCGAGAGTCACGTTTTTTGTCAAGTCGGATGGCAATTGTAGCTGCTTTTCGCTCGTGGTCTGGTGGGGCTCAGTGATTTAACTTTACATTTAATTTGTTAATAATTGTTGAGTGCAATATTTACTAAACCTCTGTCTATACCTTTTTCGTTCAGGGATTATCAACCTATGCAAGGCTGGGAATTCTGGTATCCAATCTTTAATTGGCTTACTCTGCATACCAAATATGGAGGTTAGGGTGAGTAGGCTGTCTCACATCATCGCTTATTCCCTGCGTTTGTTAAACTTTATTGTTCACTGTTTTATTATCTCTACAGAAAGGGTTGTTGGAGGTCTTGTATGAGATCTTTAGACTCCCTGTGCCCATTGTAACGCACGACTTTACTGAAGCTCTTCTTAGTGTTGGTAAGTTATATGTTCAGTGTCATACCATGGAACATATAATGGAAAGCAATAACATTTCCATGCTGACAAGCAGGTGACGGACCTTCCAAAGTTGCGCCATACACTTTCACTGTTAGAAGTATGACCACCTTGGGTTGTGTCATCACTTTATAATGGTGTGTATTGTTTTAGACCCTGCCAGGTTCCAGGACACATGGAGACTGTCGGATGGCTTTGTAGCTGCAGAAGCCAAAGTCATTTTACCACATCGGGCACGCTCTAGGTATGAATGATGGCAAGCGATTTTACTCTTGTGTGTAGTAGTTGTTTTCATACAAATTAAACGTGTGTCTTTTTTTCTTTTTAGGCCAGATCTTATGGACAACTATTTGGCTTTTGTTCTGTCAGCTTTCATCACAAATGGACTGTTAGAGGTAATGTTTTCTTTCAATCTGCATTTCTTTTAATTGTTTCTGTGCAATGTACAACTTTCTGCTTTGTTTTTGTTCAGGGTATTGTTGAAGTTGTGACCAGTAGTGATGACCAGCTCGCTGTGAGAGCAACTATACTTTTGGGAGAGCTTCTACACATGGTAAGATATAAAGGCAAAAATATAGTAATAAAATAATTTTGTAAACAAATTATAATTTATGTATAGGCATAAACTGGTTTTGATGTTTGATTTTCATTGAGCGTACTATTTGATACTATTAAATGACTTAATATAAAATAAATATCAAATTGAATAAGATGCATAATGGTAAAATAGAAAAGAAAAAATATTTGATGACAATGTATTTATTATTATAGCATTACAGCCATTTAAGGTTTTAATGCATAGTTGTGATATCTCAAAACCCATTCACTCCACTTCTTTAAATGTATAACCTGTATGCATTTGAATGTATACAATTTAATACTGAATACTACACCTAATATATTTCTTTTGGCTTAGGCAAACACCATCCTTCCTCATTCTCACAGTCACCACTTGCACTGCCTGCCCACTCTCATTAACATGGCGGCCTCGTTTGATATTTCTCAAGAAAAACGACTGTAAGTACATACAACTGACAAATACAAATCACTTGATTCAAAGTTAATGGATAATGATCTATGATTCTATAAATTTAAAAATGTCACTAATTTCTGTGTTTCAGTCGTGCAAGTGCAGCTGTCAATAACCTGAAACGTTTCCATGAGAAGAAGAAAAAAGGTCTGAAGCCCTACAGTCTGTACTTGGATCACATCATCCGAAAATCAGTTTCCTCTCAAAACCGCAGAGAGTCTCATTCACGGCCACAGCGAGACATTTATGTTATTAAGGTACATTCAATAATTGTTGTGCACAGTTGTCACACTCAGTAGTTTTCATAGTGTGGGTCATATGTTTGTACACAGGACACAGAAGAAGCACTTATGATGAACTTGAGAGACAGTCAAATACTCAACCATAAGCAAAACCTTGAATGGAACTGGCTGCTCATCGCCACAATTCTTAAGGTGTGTCCTATTTCAAAGATTCCCAAGTAAAGTATCAAAATTTGTTGTGGGTTGATAACAAGGAATGTCCTTTTCAGTGGCCACACGTAAACCTCAGGAACAATAAAGACGAACAAATGCACAGGTGGATGGCTTTGTCTGTTTGTTTGTACAGTACATAAAAAAAAAAACAGTCTATTCAATTTTGTTTCATATTCTTAAGGTTTGTGCGGAGGCTGCTGTATTTCTATAAACCTAGCAGTAAGTTGTATGCAGGCCTAGCCCTGGATCACATGAAGGCCAGGCAACTCACTGTGGTTGGCTGTCAGTTCATCGAGTTCCTCATGGATTCTGATGAGGTAATTTTTTTAATCCACAAAGTAAATTTTCTTTTGAAATAAGTAGATGTATGTAATACATAAATTGTTGTAAAATTTTTGTTCTGCCGACAAATCGGTGCATTGTATGGAGTAATTTGTTTTAGTTTCTTAAGTACTGTTTTCTATTAGTGTGAATCTTAATATGCCCAATAGTAATCCTAGTTAAACAATATATAGTATAGGTTAGATACAATTATATAGTAATATTCATCATATGTGTTGCTGTCCCTAGGATGGGCAGGGTTACCTTGAGGACCTGGTCAGGGACATGGTTTTGTGGCTCTCCTCGTCTTCCGGCCTGAAGCCTGAGCGCTCCCTTCAGAGTAATGGCCTGCTCACCACACTCAGCCAACACTACTTCCTGTTCCTCGGGACGCTCTCGGCACATCTACAAGGCGTCAAACTGCTGGAGAAATGTGGCCTGTTTCAGTGGTTAGTGCTCAGATGACTTCACTCATAATTTGCTATTTTTTATTAAAATCGAGGGCTTGAGGACAGTATCAATGTTTCTCCTTTTGTTTTTGCAGCCTGCTGAATATGTGCTCGGTAAAGAACCAGGATGCTGTGCTGAAACTCGCTGTGACGACTTTGGACTACAGTACAGATGGTCTTGCCAGAGTGATCCTGTCCAAGATTCTCACCGCTGCTACTGATGTAAGTCAGAATAAAAGGACACCCAATTTATTCTGTATGTATGTATGT